TGTTTAGACAGCATACTGTTTTTATAATTCTTTTCAGGGTTAATTTTTTCTTCAAGATGTTGATAATGTAGTCCAGTCGGGCACGGTCAAATCGATAAACCATGCAACAGTGGGGGTGTCGCATTCTACTGCTTTTTCTTTAATTTCGATCTATCGTTCAAGGTTATCTTTAATAAAGCCGGTGCATAATTTTATGGTGGAGCATAGAAGAGTTATACCCCTGTAGCTCTCTAAATTACTTTTTGTCCCTTTTTGAAGATGGGTATGGTGAAGCTTTTATGCCAATCGTCGGGGATTGTTTGTGACCTTAATATGTCATTAAAGAGTTGCATTAGTTTTTTTGTGAGTTCACTACCACCACACTTTAGAAGTTCATTGTTCGTTGGGTCATTGTCCACACCCGGTGCTTTTTTATTTTTAGACTTTTTTGTCTTGGTTTTTTTCTTCTTCCGTGAATGATATTGGGACCTCCTCTTAAATAATAAATTAAAATAAAGGTCATTAAAATATATCTCCCAGTTGTGCAGTGACACACTTTTAGTTTGAATTAAATTGTTCACAGGCTTTTTTCGACTTTTGTCCGGTACCTGCAAAAATGTCAGTTGTTGTGCAATGCTCCTCGTTTTCCTGGAATTGTTTGCTGCAATTATCTCCAACACCCGTTCCTTTAAGTCTGGAACCCGAGCATCTCAAGATCGTCTATCTGCTTCAATTCTTGGAGCCAATCGTCCAGTGTCTCTAGCCCTTTGCTAGTGCAAGTTCTTACAGCTTCTGCTATGTTACTGTGGCATTTCCCCAAAACTTCATATCAGCAAATTCGATATTGGTCTATGTACATTGTATATGTGCATGTGTTAAGTATTCCAATAAGCTACCAATCGAAGATGGGACTATAAAACGTAATAACAAAGTTGAAATTCGATCTTCAAGTGATAATATCTTCTATACATTTTCGGAAACGTTTTTTTCAATATTTCTCTCGTACTGTCTAAGTGAGCCCCTACAGCTCCTTAAAAGGAATGACGCCTATTTTGAATCACCTATATCATGGGTACATCACTGTATAACATGAGAAAAGAACCAACATTGACAATTACATGCTGAATTGCAATATACAATATGTTTCTTCTATTAAATTGAACAATAAAAGTTGTGAATGGTAGCTTATTAAAGATAAACCTGTACAAGTTAATTATCCATCAAAAAATCAATGGGTAAAATCCGAAAAGTTACGTCGACGAGCCCGAGTGCAAAAAATAAGCCCCTTAATTCTAAATAAATATTTTTCAACACACGCGTGCTCATACATCGAAGCCTGAATTCCCATCAGTGAAAACTGAGCTGAGCTTCGAAATTGAAATTTTTAATACTTGAGAAAAATTTGAATAATTTTATTTCTCAAAAGCTCAATCAATAATCAGTCCAAAATCTAAGAAATTCGTTTTTTAAAAAGTCTCCACGCTCGGCTAAGCATAAAATTGGTGTCAATAATTTGCATTTTCCATCATTACACAATCGTTTTATCTAAGTAACGAGATTAAAACATTTGATTCAACAAACAATTGTCAAATAAAAATTCAGTTTTAATTGATATTCAATATTACGCTACTATATTAATTCAGTCAATACAAGGCTAATTTCAGCTTTGTTTATCGCATTATTTGTTATTTTTTATAAATATTTTTTTGTTTTTTTTTCTTCCTTTAGAAGAATTTCAACATTACCAGCTTATAAATCGATCAGTTTGCACAATTTCTAAACGTCAAATATGTACGAACTGCACAATAGTCACCTGTCAATTTATCTTAAATGTGTAATTTAAAAACTGTAAATATCTTGCAATTTAAGATAAAAAAGAATAATTCCATTGTAAACATGTTGGTATTATTTATATTTCCTTGTTAATTTTTAAAACTTAACGATTTATTCCTGTATACTAGTGAAGCTGGGTTTATAGTAATATGTATTGAACATAAGGAAAAAATCTGACTGGATAAACTGATTTGGAGTTGACGTAAGACGTAACAGTTAATGCTAGGTTATTTAATCCTAACCTCAGAAAAATTTTCGTTGATAAAATGAATTCAGACGATAAAATTATTGTTGCTGAAAAAAACCAACGTGAAACAAGTAAAATATTCAAAGCAACCACGAGAATGTTTAGTACAGGGTGTCCCACCGGGAACCTCCGCGATCGATATCTGGCAAACTATGATTGGGAGATATTTGAAAATTGAACAGTGTGCCGAAGTCATTAGCGGCGAGCGATCTAAAATATTTTCCTGATGGCCACACTTCCGGTTATACCGGAGGTAAGTATCAACTTGGTTATTTTTAATAAAACACCCTATATGTTATTCCATTTTTAATTCTACTGTAAATTCTAAATATATTTCATCTATAATATCTTATACCTAAGTCTAACCGTTATTAATATATTTGAAATTTTATGTAAAAAAATTACAGTTGCAGCCACTCGAATAATTATTCATTTTTCCTATAAGGCAATTTGTGCTACTTAATTTGAGTCGCATTTATTGTTGAAAAGGACTTATTTTAATGGAATTTCGACAACAAATTGAAAACATTTAATATGAAATGTTAAAAAAATAAGTTTCAAAATACAGTTGAGAAAACCGCCCAAAATCAATTTTTTCAAATGGAAACTCTTATTTTTGATAATTTTGTCTTATTCAGTATTAAAAAGAAGTGTAAGTTTGTCGATTCCAATAGTGTTTAGTTTTAGAAATATTTCCAATTTAATGTTTTCATACGGCTATTTTGCCTCATCTTATTTTAAATCCTATCACTCTTAGTTGTCATGACGAAAGTGGCCATTTTTAATACAATCAAATGCCAAAGGAATGCTGACAGCTGTCAGTTACCTTCTGAAAATAATTAATAATCATGCCGGGACGCTTAAATTATACAAACGAAGATTGTTTAAACTTATTTATTATTGATGGAGAATCTGATAAAGTTATATGAAGAACCGTTCATGTATTATTAATTATTATTATATCAAGAACAAAAACCAAGTTTGTTTTTCAAATCTAGGGGTCGCTAATTTTTCTGGTTGCCCTTATAACTTGAACATGCAGTTATTTAGACGTATTTAAAATTCTTGAAATTTTCAATAATGTATTTAACAGAACAGCATGAAGGTTTCTGTTTTTGTGGATACCGAATGGCAAATGTCTCACATGTTCATGATACAGCTTTATTACATTCTTCATAAATAATGAAAGTTAATAATAATCTTCTTTTGTATAATTTAAGTATGGGCATGATTATTAATTATTTTCAAAAGGTAACTGAAAGCTGTCAGCATTCTTTTGGCATTTGATTGTGTTAAGAATGGCCACTTTCGTCATGGCAACTAAGAGTGACAGGATTTAAAATAAGATAGGCAAAATAGCCATATGAAAACATTAAATTGGCAATATTTCGAAAACTAAACACTTTTGGAATAGACAACTTGATACAAACTTACACTTATTTTTAATACTGAATAAGACAAAATTATCAAAAATGAGGTTTCCATTTGAAGAAAATGAATTTGGGCGGTTTTCTCAACTGTATTTTGAAACTTATTCTTTTAACACTTTGTATTAATAGTTTTCAAAATGTGTTCTAGTGGCTGCAACTCACGTCATTTTTTACGTAAAGGTCCAAAAAAATAAAAAACTATAGGATGTTATACATGAAATATCATTAGAATTTGAAGAAGAAATAAGAAATGTAATAATATATAGGGTGTTCCATTTAAAATAAGCAAGTTGATCCTTACTTCCGGTATAACCGGAAGTGTGGCCATCTTGAAAACATTTTATATCGCTTGCCCCCAGTGACTTCGGCGCACTGTTCAATTTGCAAATTTCTCCTAATTATAGTTTGCCTGACATCGATCGCGGCGGTTCCCGGTGGGACACCCTGTATATAATAGTTATCTGCAGAAATCAAACCATAAACCAACAATCCATTTAAAGCGCGTGTCCCATGCATCCGTTTATACGATGATATGAAGATACAAAAGTGTTTCTATTGGTTGGAGATCTGTCAGATCTCCAACCAATAGAAAAAAATTCGTACCATCGTATAAAGGCCGGGACACATCTATCCGATCCGACACCGATCCGACTCCGATCAGAGAACCTGCCGTCGATGACCAAATAATCGGATCGGTGAGTGATCGGAAAGGGAAAGCCACACATGTCATACACGTTTCAGTTTCCGTTCCGATTTTTGGACGAGTGCAAATCACAGATTATCAAACTATTCCTAAGACTAAGTCCAAATGTATTATTGGCTTTACCGTTTTTCATATAGACACTCGGATGGTTTACTTTGAATATCGAAAACGGGAAGCCGAACTAGATATAAGACTTTTGTTTTATGATTTTAGGCTCTTAGGAAACTATAGCTTGCCGAATTAAGCCAAACTAACATGATATTTAAAAATGTTTTAACGTGACAAAAAGACTAGTAGCAAACTAATTGTGCGATTATATAAAATATAATAATCAGATTAATAGGGATTTGTTTTCCACTTGTATTTCCGGTCCATATGTTAGTTATTAACAATTTATTGCCAAAAACGCGATTTTTGTCTTTTTGTTTATAATATTATATAATAATGGAGTAATCGGAATGCCCAACGAGATGATTTGTATAGAATACAAATTTCTACAAAATGAGGGGTTGAATTAAAACATTAAAACCTGAAGTAGTAAATAAATTTCCATGAAAAGTTTACAATGTACAATTTAGTAGTTATTTTTTCAATATTCCTTGCCAGAGTCCTTACATACAGTTGCTGTGTAAACAGTAATATAAATTAATACTTGCGACGAATCAAGTGCATTATTAATAATTGAGTTGAATCATGAAGACTTAGTTACTTGACATGTGAATTCAGATATTTATGACAACATTTGTCATTTAGCTAGTGACATGGGAGACTGAATACAAACTAGCTTTACTAGAACAAAGAAACTTACCTCCTCCTTTGGTTCTGGCGCTCACTGAATCCTCTGGATTATTGCCGGTCCCAGACTTGGAGCCAGGTCGCTCAAAGTTTTCTTTATTGGATAGATTATCTAAAGACCCTCCGTGACTATTGACGTGGCTGAAACGATTATTTCGGTAATTTTTAACACGAATTGAAGATAACCAACAAATAAAAAAGTACCTATTCGTCGCTTTCCTCTTCTCCAGCGCCTTTAAGTTGTGGTGGCGCACTATTTTGGGGCCACTAGCAGCAGCTGCTCTACGGTCCAGTTCGTCTCTTTCAGCAATTTGAAGCAACTCCTGGTTAAAGAGTTAAATATTAAGCTTAATTTTTCATTGCCACTTATGCTGAGTTTATACACCAATAGTAATAAATATCACAGAACACTTGTCTTCCATGCATCTTCAACTGCATCGATGGCGACACAATTACAAAACGGAAGACGAAGCTTGGTTGCATAATAAAATGTGTGGCGCTCACACTAATTAAAACATTGTCTCAAATTCAAAGGATAGCAAACATTTTTCATTTAAATGGAATGCCGTACTTTTTATTGGATATTCAAGCTATTCGTAAAATTCTAGGCCTATTCGATATAAATCTTCTATATTGATCTACAACTGGTTTTGTGTTAATAATTATAACTTTGGCCACCTCGTTTCTGTATCTAATTTGAAATTTAGAACAAAATTAGTCTTAAATTCAAGTGGCGGACCAAACTCAATTTTTCTTTAATGGAATTCCCGCATATTTAAATGGTTATTAACTCAAAAACAGTTGAAGATAAATTAGAAAATTTGTATCCAAGAAGCCTTGAATTTTGCCTATAGTTCGAATATGCAATTAAATTGCGCCATTCCATTTAACAAAATGTAAGTTTGTTCCGCCCCTTGGGTTTAAGACACTCTGTATCAATTGATATTATCTTAGAATAAATTAGTCGTTAATTTCTAAAACTTTTGTAATTCATATTCTTCTCTAAATTTCAAAAACGTGGTGGCTAAAATTCGATCAATATTGGTTGAATTTGAGCCACCACTGAAAAAACACTTGAAGATCAATATAGAAGATTCATATCAAGTAGGCCTAGAATTTTGGGTATAATTCGAATTAGGCCTGGGTAACACTGTGTCTTAAGACACTTGTGCGTTGATGCTGCTCTGTGTCCATGTGTCGCGACACCTGGCCTCTTACTTTTCGGCACTTTGACCAACACTTGACATTTAATATCATTCAAGATGGCAGACTTCGTGAAGGCCACGCGCAGTTATCATATAGTTTCTGTAAACGTATGAGGGAACACCCTGTACATATGCCGTAATACTCACATTAAAGAGTTCACTCTTTCCTTGCCTATCGCTGGGATTCTTATAAGACATAGCTTCATCCAGCAAGCTCTTCAGCTCCTTATCGTTCAGATGTGTGACAATCTACAAAAAAGAAAAAACGCTCATAAAACCAAACTCGGAAATATACAGCAGCATAATTATTTGAATTTTTAAATAATTTTTGTTAAAGTGATCTGATTATGCCACGAACGAATTGCAAAAATTACATAATTGAACAACAGATGAATATTTAAAATTACTCATTAGCAGCTCCCATAAAGATAGCAAAGCAGTTCGATGGCACAGTTGAAGAAATTTGAATGAATTCTTCCTAATATGTATATATTTTATTCGCTTGCAGAAACTGCAACAAAAAAAACCCACATCTCAATTTTAATAGCACAAATGTAGTTTCTGTAAGTGACATATTACCGGCCTTAGTGTGAAATATTACAGCAAACGTTAGAAAATAAAGAGATAAGTATTAAAACTGTCGCAAAATGACGGCATTATAATTAAAAACGCCTTGAAACATCCAGAGAGAAAACAATTCACACCAGAATAACAATATGTGTGCAAATAGTAAAAAACGTTGCCAATAGATGCGGTGACTAGATTTGGTAGACGATATAATTATTTTGCATGAACGCAAAGCATATTTCCGAAAATTCAAAAATGTTCCCAAATGGATAGTTTCCAACTTTCTGCTGGAATAGAGGCAGGCACATGAAATAACAAACAGCAACTCTGTATAGCTACATAATTAGTTTATTTAAATGGAACCTAAAACTTATTAAATAATAATATTTATAAACTTCAGAACTTTTAAAGTCCAAACACAGGGAATCTAAACTTGTATTATAGTGTGTATAAATCCGGGTTGTGGTTTAATTTTTTTAATAACCCTTGAATAAAATATGACGTTGCGCGTTCGACTGTTACGTCATCATCAGGGCCGTCGTCAAGTTATAAGCAAACTCCAAGTGTGCCGCACAACGCATACCAAACAGCGGTCGGGCGGTCAGAAAACACAAAAAAACACGAGACGGGAACGGACCAACAGCTCACACCAGTTATAAAATTTAAAACAATAACATTTTTTTTAGATCCTCCAAGGTCCAAAAAGTTAAAAATTTAAAACGTTAAAATAACATAAATCAAAATAAAAATCCTGGACCGCTCGAAATGATAGTCAGACGACCAGTCCAAGACTTTTAAAGTGCTTAGGCCCAGTTCCACCATCTCCGATTAAAATGTTAATCATTTATTAAAACTATTTAATCAACACTTTGCGTTCTACCATAACTTTAACCAAGATTATGGACACTTAAGCAGTGGTTAACTTAATCGCCTAAAATGGCTGGTTATTGACGATAATCACGATTAGTGTAGTATTATAACCTCAAACAATTTTAAGTAAACACATGTTGCATTTGTTTTATGGCGATGTTTTATCACGGTCTGATGAGGATAGTGACATTCAGGTTGTTAGAAGACCCAGAATATTTAATCCGCCAGTCAATTATTTTGAAATCATAGACACCTTGAGTTTTTTACGCTATTTCGCTTATCGAAAAACACTGTCTAAACATTACTGCTGGAAATAGAAATAGACCTGCAACATACTACAGAAAGTTATGATAAATGAATAATAGTAAAATTGCCACATGTTCATTAAATGGATTTTTTAGAAACAACACTATTCAACCCATGACACAACTTTTATTTGTGTTGAGGTATTATGCAACTGGATCGCATCTTATTGCTGCTGGATACTTTTTTGGAGTAAGCAAAACTAGTCTGAATCGAATTGTACATCGAGTAACTGCTACAATAGCCACATTAGCTCGACATGACATTAAACTTCCATCTACAAAAAGGGAAATAAGTGCAGCACAAGTAATTTTTTATGCAYTAGCTCGTTTTCCCAAACTTATTTCAGTGTTGGATTGTACTCATATTAAAGTACAATCCTTTGGGGGAGACAACGCAGAAGTATTTCGTAATAGAAAGGGATATTTCTCTATCAATGTCTATCAAGCGACATGTGATTACTATTTTGAGGGAAAATTATTTCAGTTGATCTGTCAGTTGTTTGAACCAATCAAAACCGTCGATTCAAATACGATCTTACCCGATGAGACTGATGATTATCTAACCGGAGTTAAAATGTTTGTTGGGGAACGCATGACAATTTAATCATGATTAAAGTGGTGATTAAAAAATGATTGTGATTAGTTAACCAAGAATTTAATCACTCTTGGTGGAACCGGGCCTTAGCATAACTTGATATTTTTTTCATAGATACGATAAGGACTTATTTTGTTTTTGCAGTTTGTGCATGTTCATGTTAATAGTTTTAACACCCATCAACCCTTCATCATACAGAAGACATACTTATTTACACACCCAACAACAAGAATATTATCTTTAAACAGGTTGAAGCTCAAACAACACAAACATTACTGTTGCTTGAGATCGATGAAATGAACCCTTTTCCAGAAAGCTGTGACCTATGGAACGAACAAATTAAATGTGTGTACTGCAATCAACCTCACAAGGCCACAGACAAGCAGTGTCGGAATATGCATGGGAGAAAAATATCAATACCTTATTGATATAGTTACTCACGATATATGCTATGCAAAATATGCCAAAAAGGTATGGACTACACTGAACTTCGAGCTTTGCAGGACGACGATAGATATTGTTTAAATACATTGGTCAATATGACACAGATAACCTAGGAATCTCAGCATCCCAGAGCAAACTTTAACTAGATTATCAGAAAAGCCCTCTAACATTGAGGGCAGAGTACTTTCAAGCACTTAATGGGGCGAAAAAAACAAAATCTGCTAACCCTTGTTCAGCTCATCAATTATGTTAATTTTCTTGTCCAAATCGGACTAAAATCTGGTTCACACGGTGAAATTAATGTCGTGACATTTAATGCCGTGACAGCAACCAGTGTCGCGGTGTGGCATATGAAACCATTTTGATATAAGACACTAATGTCACGAAACTGTGACATTCAACTGTTCAGATAATGACATTGTTGCGGCATTCACGTCCCGACATTAATGTCACCTTGTTAACGGGCTTTAAATCATCATATMGTCTACCTCCCCACTATGCTCAGGATGAAGAAGTTCATGCTGAAATCACCCTTACATCTTTAATAAGRAAAAGCWCTTGCGCACATGGAATAATTTAAAACGCTCCGAAAAGAAGATACTCAGCCTACTTCATCACAATATAAATGACAACATAAATGACAGTATGCTTACTAAGACGAAATCTCATTCTAAACTCMTCATCATTSCACCTTGCCAAATGACCTGKGCGTATTCTAAAGTGCCTTAGCACTATAATGAAAAAAATATAGTCTTCATCCGAAAAATCCGACGTAATAGGACATGGCTGAATTAAAGGAGTTCAAAATACTTTTGATGAAGAACTTAAGTTGTGGTATGTGGAAGGTCTGGCTCTGTATAAATCAAGCAAGAACTTAATCATCAAGCAAGATCGAATGACTTACACCGGAAGAAACTTAGATCTTGGATTGATATTGAATCAAAGCCTAACATGAAAAAATCAGATGAGCAATATTTAGTTGTGCCAGATGCAAAAAACTTTAAATCTGTTTTAAATAGTTTTACGCAACTCTGAAAAGTAAAACTGATTTTCCAAGCGGGAGCGATGGGAGTTTTTCAACCACATGTGAGTGCTTCTTAATTAAGGAATAAATTAATATACTTAGTAACTATGCTGCGTAAAATGTATCAGCAACTAGTGGCTATAAGATTGACAAATTGTGAGATATTGACGAATAAAAAATGTTCTTATATTCGTACTCAGTAAATATGTATTATGTTATTAAGGAACAAATACACAAAGCCGCATTGTCGCTACAAACTAAATTACTCAATTATACAAAGTAGGTACCTAAGTACTTTAAAAGTTATTTAATAAAACCAGATTTTTAGCTGCGTTTTTAAGAGGCATATGTCTTGATAGAGATTGTTTGTAGATGTTTTCAAACAAAATTTCAAGAAAAGAAGGAAGCAATAATAAACTTAATACAAGTTTGCATCCCCTTTGATTGAAAATTTCAAGCATTTAAAGAATCGCTTATAGAAAGAAAGCACTGATGGAATGATTCTTTGATTTCTCCGATTAGTCATGGTCCTGATTGCAAGTATTTAGGCCATAATGAGCCATAATTTAGCTGTAATAAAATATAAACTCACAATTTAGGTGGAGTTAATAGTGTTTTCAGCGGATAGGTGAAGAAGAAAGCGTAGGACCTTTCTAAAACTTCAAAAGTTAACGACGCAAAATTAATAAGATTGTTTAAAAGCTCTAAAATATTCAACTTTTGACATTTTTGTAATTCCAGGAGACATTATGAATGATCTCTTTTAGGCTGAAAAACAACTATACAGATGTTGCCTAATTTCACACTGAAGATGCTATCGAATATCCTCCTGATCATCTCTCGATCAACATTAAAAAAAACCTATAAAACCGTTAAATTTTTAGTCTCACATTGGCCAAATGCTGACAAATAATGTTTGCTATTTGACCTTTTAAACTTTTTTGAATAATAAAATATCCAAAAACCGTATTTTTGTTTGAAATGTTAGTGTTTTTAGTAAGTATATTTCAGAAACTCCAAAAATCATCGATTTTGAACAATTTAAGGATTATCAGACTATGAAGGCTTTCACGGCCGGTTAAATCACATTTAGGAATGTTTAGACCCCCATTAGGAATGTTTAGACTCCCGTAGATCACGGCTTCAAAGCCCGGAAAACATTCCTAAATGTAATTTAAGGATTTGTACAAAACACAATACAATTTTTATGCCGATACATACTTTCAATAATCATAACTAAGTTTTTATTTTAGAAAACTAAGTTTGTAGGTATTGATTTTCCAAATTTGGTACTTAAATTGAATTTGTGGTATTTCTGAATACCACTTCGATTGAATTCAATTGGAACTAAGCTGAAATTCCTACTTACTATCTCCTTTTCTTCCCGGCAGTCACCATAATTCAAACCATACTTTTGTTTAGCACGTTCAGACTGCTCTTTAATAGTTTGCGTATTATCGGCAACATCTTGGTATCCAGCTGCCGCATCTTGGGCCTCGTTCTCACAACTAACTGCAGAGTCCCCAAACTGTTCAGCACCATCGTGTAGCTCGGAATCTTGTAACTGATCTATAACATTCTGCCGTTTGTCATCCAAATATTCAAAATTGGTTGCAAAAGTCTGTCGGTTGGCTGTCAACGATTTCTCTTCAGAAGCCGTTATTTTATCTTCCTGATATATGTCTATAACATCATGATCTATATCTTTAAAAGAGAGATAGCCTTCCGATTGTTGAGGTATTACTTCAACAGCATGACACTGGTCTGTAAAATTCTTAGATTGGTTTTCAGAAGGTGAGGAGCAATTCCAAAACTGTGGTTGTCGTCCTTTGGTTGCTTGCCATTCGTCTACCGATTGTTCAAACTCACCCTTCGCATCCTGAGATGTGCCTTTAGAATCATTAGACTTATTTTGAGCATCCTGAACTTGACCTGTACAGTTTCTTAGAGTCCCGAAAGAATGTTGAAACTTCACTTTAGAACCCACGGACTGCATGTTACAATCTTGGTGCCGGTTTTCAGAATCTTCGAGTTTGATCAATGGCTCTAGAGATTCACTTGCAGAGCTTTGGGGCTGGTTTGTATCATAGAGAAATTTACCTATGGGATCTTGTGGGTCGTTTTGAGAAGATTGAAATTTTGAATCAGAACTCGGGTATTGATCCCGAAGATCGGATTCTTCAAGCTTGGGCATAACATCATAAGATCCACCATCTAAATCTTTAACGTCGAGTTTTGACTGATGAGGTCTATCTGTGCAACTCTGAGGAATTTCAAAATTTTGTGACTTGACTTTAGAACCAATACAACGTAAATTATAATCCTGCGGTTCATCTTCAGATTTTCCGACTTCTGTAACTCTCCGTATATTAAAGACCGGTTGGTCTTGCACACACTGAGATTCGCTAGAAGCTTTCAACTCGTCTTTAACATCCTGTGTTGTGCCGATAGGTGTCTGAGAGTTATCGTCAGCAGCGTGCGACTTGGCCTCACGATCCTGAAACTGGATTTTATCGTCGTACGGTTCAGCTTCAGAATCTTCAAACTGCTCATTCACATCTTGCAAGTCGCCTTCAGAGTCATCTTTAACAATAGAGGTTTTATCTACAGAACTCTGAGAGCACAGATCTTTACACGATTGAACTGTGATTTTAGCACCCTGAGACTGGAACCGATAATCCTGCAAGTCGTCATGGCTGTCTTCGAGTTTGCCCGATCTAAAGTTGTCAGAGCCCAATCCGTCTTGGCCATCTGGATAGGTACCGTCAGATTCTTGGCACTCACCTTTAGCGGCATGAGGCTTGCCTATGGGGTCATAAGAGTTGCATGCAGAATTGTGAAATTTGGCTTCAAAGCACTGCGTTCGAACTTTGTTGTCCTCAGGGTCGGCCTCAGAATCGTCGAATTGATCTTTAGCATCCTGGTATTGATCACTCGCATCCTGAGATTCACCTTCAGAATCTTGGCACTGATCTTTAACACATTGGGTTTTGTCTTTAGGATTGATAGACTTTCCTACAGAATATTGCGACCCTGTTCCGAAGACCTGAAACTGGTCTTTAGTACTTTGAAATTTGCCTTGATCTTGCTGAAAATCTTCTTTAACATTTTGGGGTTTATCTATAGGATTCTGAGACTCGCCTCCAAGCTCTTCAGAAGTATTTTTAACATCATGCGGCTGTTCCTTGGCTTTTTGCGGTTTACCTTTGTTTTGTTGGGTTTGAAGGGTGGTTTTGTTATTATCGGGCAATGGGGCCATGTCCATTAAGCCCAATTACACCAAAATAAACCTTCACTTGAAACGGGAGAACACCTATTTAAAACGTATTTGGGTCATGTTCACTATTATCGGAAATGCACTTCACGTCGAGCGAAATTAGTCCCACGAATGTTTACAGTCTACAATGCCATTATTTTATGCGAAAAATAGAAAAATCATATTTTGCCATCCGCCATCACCTTCAGACAAAACTCCGAAACTGACACAAGACGTGAGGTCTATACGAGGAGAATTAAAGTTTAGTCTAAAATCTAAAATAGAATATCTGCCTTTAGTGCACACAAAGACTATGCATGTAGTAATGTTTCACATGACTCCCAGAAATATAACGCACAATTCAGTTAGCAACTGATTTGGAAAGCATAAATATCTAAATACTTATTTATAAATAAAATTCTCATCTGATTAACTTGCACGCAACCAGTTATTGAAATTTGCTATGTTCAGCTGCTGTGTATGTTGCTTCTCGTTTCACTTAACAGTGAAACTCAAAATTTCACTTAAGAGATTCTATTCAGTAACAGAAAACTGGTAGCCCGAATCCAAAAAGACGTTAATGATCATTCTTTGCAAGTTGTGATATTTGGAAAAGCTGATGAAAAAAATGCAAATGCACACAATCCTTTATACAACTCGGTTTTCTGTGTTAGGAGTTTGGTAATCTGTGGCCAAATGTCTAATGTCATTGAGTGACTTTTATCTGTTTATTAGCTGAAATTCATCAATAAAATTTAAATACAGTTTTAATTAAATTAAAGAAACCCAAAAGGTATAAAAAATGACTGGAGAGACCGAAGAAAACATTTTCTTGTTTGTGCCAAACATTATTGGTATGTTATTAGAAATCATATTCATTCAAATGTGTGATCATACTTAATTTAAGCAATGTTTTTGATAATTTCTCTCCTTGTAATGAGGTTGTTTGTTGCAGGATATGCTAGGATAATACTAGCAGTGATAGCTTTCTATTTCATGCCCACAAACTATATTATAGCGACGGTTTGCTACGTGGTGTCCGCTTTACTTGATGCATTTGATGGTCATGCTGCAAGGTAGCTTTTAGCAATAGTTACACGCTTAGTGAAAGCCTCCCCTCTGATACTAAAACATAGACCTCTGGATAATATGTTTCGGTTTATCTCTGGATAATAGTATGATACCGGTGGGTGTATTCGCTGTATAAGAGGTCTCCTTTAGATTATTAGTCACATATTTAAATCAGTAAATCCTTTCATTTCTGATGCATTCTTTCCTTTGGGGGAAGCAATGAGTAATTTTCAAGAAAACCCGGTTCGCGTGTTCCAAGTTAACAATGTTTATTTATTTATTTAGTCAAACAAAGCCCAACAAAGTAATTAATAGGGCTTATAGCCTAGCCTAACTTATTAACGAACTTATTATCTAAAGGTGTTTTGACAGCAATTGAATAAATGCTGAGATCGCAGACCACTGACACTGTTAAAAATTGAACATATTTTATATATTGGAGAGATGAACAGTAGATTCAAGTTTGCAGTAGGCAGGTTAAAACAGCTATTGGATCTACAAGCGTACCTAGGTACATGAAAATTGAGATTACTTTAAAAGTGAGGGACATATAATTCCACCCTTCACCAGTTTGTATAGAAACATGTATGCACTAATCTACGCTTTTCCAAGGAATCTAAACTAAATCTTGTCAACAGCAGAGCATTGTCCTTTTTTGAGATAGATCCCTCCTTCTTTATATGCAAGATACGTTAAAAACTTTCTTTGAACTCTTTCTAATGCTCCGCTATGCACACCATATATCGGAGACCAAATTAGCGATGCATACTCCAATCTAGTTCTAACAAGAGAGAAAAATAACAGTCCACAGTTTCGATAAACAAGATGTTTTGCTTCTGGTTTATAAATCTCCAAAATGTCTTGGGGCCGCTTTCAAGACTATACTCAATGTTTTTAATATATTGAGCATAAGATGTTTTTATCAGATCGCTGGCTTGCCTTCTAAGTGATTTGAATTTGTTCAGATAAAAAATATTAACACTTCTCTTCCATTTTTTCCATGTGTTCTTTTTGAGTCGAAAAGTTTCAGTGAGAGTTTTATTATACCACAGTAGAAAGTCTTTCTTTTTTCTTGTTTTATGTTTGGACACACAACTGTGAAATATATTTTTGAGAATTCTTTCAAATTTATAACAACATTCATTTCTATTCATACACGTTGATAACTAACTCCAATCAGCAACACTCAACTGTTGGTAAAGCATGTGGAAATTCGCATGTTTAAAGTCATATCCTCTGGACTCATCCGCCTGTTTCGCTGCAAATTTCCTGCCGCCGGCCAACCTAAGTCAAATATCAACATACAGGGTGTTTTTTAGTGCGATAGAGTCCATTATTTCCGATGGTGTTGAACTTTCGAAAAATAGTTTCATATAAAACTTGTCGACGCATCATTCATCATCCATTTAGAAGCTCTTTTTAAAAATTTTCAATATTGGTCAAATAGTATGTTGAATCTTTTATCATCTTCAGCTGAAATGTGATGCTAAATGCCCTGAAAATTTCAGTAAATTTGCGTCAAATCTAGATTTTTCTCAGCTCTCAGATCAGATGAGCGATGTCTTCATAAATTTACCGTCCCGTTTCGAAATATGCGCAGCTTCTACCACAGATCAACTAGCAACTTGAAATTCTGACCACCTTTAGACGAAAAATCATTGTAAAAGTTTTGAAAATGTCAGTGGAATAAAGTAAAATCTGGATTTTTGTCAGTGAAGTGAATAATGGCTTGAAAATGAGTGTCTTCATACACTTACTCTCCCGTTTTTTAGAATTCGCAACTTTTAACCCTGATCAAGGAGCAACTTGAAGTTTTAACGATCTTTAGAATGAATGTGGTTTTGAAAATCCTGAAAATTTCAGTTTAACAGCGCCAAATCTTGATTTTTGCCAGCCAAGTGAATAATGACTTAAAAAATAAGTGTTCATACATTTACCCTCCCGTTTTTTGAAATTCGCAACTTTTAACCCTCATCAAGTAGCAACTTGAAATTTTAACATTTCCAGCATAAATGTGGCTTGAAAAATCCCGAAAATTTCAGATCAAAAATACGTCGGTATGCGGTTTTCTCTATTTTGTTTCATTTTTTATCCTCTTTCTAACTAACAAGAATTTTATATATCATTCCATGTGAAAATTTAAGAAAACGAGAAAGTTTGATACCACGCCCTCTGGCGGCCAAAGAAGCAATCATAAGGGCGAACATTTTGCATGTCAGCTAAAGCAATTAAAGAGCTTTCTAACTAGAGTTTAAATATTGAATTTGGTTACGCCAATACGGAGCTATCAATAACTTTTCGAACCAATATTTGGCCATCCCCCACCACTTTATTGGACTAGCTAGAACAACAAGACACCAACATAAAATAAGCAAAATTGTCTCAATAATAGAATGAAAGTACTTTCAACATACTATATTGTTGTGGTTGATTAGTGACCGTGATGTTAGTAGTCCCCTAAAATGTTGAAATTGTTATTTTATGGGACTACTGACAACATAGGCATGGCTGCAGAGAGCCCTGAGGATGACTTAAATAAAGTCGAAACGTTGGCCCATGAAAAAGTAGTGTTTTATTTTGCCACCATCCGTTAACCGAAAATCCCACTATCGAAGAATTAATTACTGATACTATATTATATTGTATTTAAAAACGGTGTTGCAGTTTCGCTCTCTAGCGGCCATTTTGCGAACTTGAAAGTCATTTAGAGCATTTTCTCGTGGTCTTTTTACTTATATTTTTATTTACTTTAAATCGATAAGACGAGAAGAAGATACGTTTGTGAGATACGGCCGACCACCTCTCTTAGTCGCCCACCCTTTGCCATGATTTGATTGTCTTTATACTTTTTTTTATTATAAATTTTAATATGTAACAATAAGCTGAGAATCTTTTATGTCGCTTTACGGAAGTAATGGTTTTTACAAAGGTCATGTTTTTCTTTACTCGGTTCGGAAAATTACTTTAAAAATAGACTTCAAACTTATTTATACATATTTCTTGTTTATTTGTTAATGATTGTATTGAACGTTGCATTGCACAGATCTGTGTAGGTATTTTGTATATTCTTATTTTTTATTGGTAGAATACAGTTGTCTAAAAATATGTTTAACTAATCCGCTGGTTTTTCAGATACTTTAACCAAGGAACTAAATTCGGAGCCATGTTGGATCAGCTGACTGATAGATGTGGAACTATGGGACTAGTGGCTGTTTTAGCTCATTTATATCCAAAATACATGTTTCCTCTACTGCTCTCAATGTGCATCGATGTTTCATGTCACTGGATTTTCCTCCATACGTAAGAAACGTGGTTCAGTGCGTTAGTAAAAAACATTAACAAAACAACATACGATTTTTATAGGTCTGTTCTTCAAGGCAAGCAGAGCCACAAATTTATTGACATGTCTGAGAACCCAATAATGAATGTGTATTATACAAATAGAACGGTGTTATTTTTTATGTGTGCTGGAAATGAGGCTTTCTACGCATCGCTATATCTCTTGTATTTCACACCAGGACCGATAGGTAAGCATAATATAATGTTAAAATGGTTTGAAGGTGTTCTCAATTTTTCAGTGTTGGAATTATCTCTATCGAAAGTTAACAATACCTGAAATTTGTGTCCGCAAGCATTACAAATACTGTCAAATTCCTATTAAGAAGTCTGTTCAAAATCGCCTTACACAAACTTTGTACGAGCTGCTGAAGAATTTCAATTCAAGCCGGTCTCAAATCGCAAAAGTTTCGCTATCTAGTATACAAATGCGGTATTTTACAGCTGCTACGCGCAGCTGTAAAATAAGGGGACGGGAGACCCTATTTTATTTCTAGCTCGTTTCTAATATATCTGAAGCTAAAATTACATAAAACGTAATATAATATGCCGACAGTGTCGGAAATCATGTAACTGCGTGTGGCCGTCACGAACTTGAAATCCGAAGAACGAGATTGAGAGCCTTTTCACACGGGTCACTTTGCAGCGCTTCTCAGTGGCGCTGCTGAGAAGCTCACGTTAACCTGAAGCAGACTGAAGTGGCTCGTGTGAACGCCAGCATTTGAGTCAATGTATCGCTATCAGTGGCGCGTCTTTTTAAAACGCTTATCGGCGGTAGTCAACCACTGAACGCCACAGAAGCGCTGCTAAATCGGTGGTCCGGCCATGGTCGCGCCCGTTTGAATAGCTCGATGTAAATCAATGTACCTTTAAAACGCGCTGCTCAGCAGCGCCACTGAGAAGCGCTGCAGAGTAGCCCGTGAGAAACGGCTCTAAATGTTAAGTGTTGTTTAAGGTGCCGCGCCGTAAGAGGCGAGGTGTCGGAGCACATGGACACACAAAGCGGCTTCAACGCAAAAGTGTCTAAACCCACAGTGGTGTTACCTAGGCCTACTGGGCCTGGGGTCGCTTTATGTAGATCACAAATCTGTGGCACGAGAGTGGGAGGATAATCGGGCAATAGGAACACATGGGGTTTAAGGTCTCATCGATGCGCAACGAAATGTCCTTCCCCGGCTCTGGTTTAACGCACTAATTTCTTTATTTCTGTTGAAGTTGTCTGGTTGTTTGAAAATCGCATTGGCTTTCCTCGTAACTTTTGAAAAGAAGTCGGCTTTATTTGAAGGGGATTTGATAGCGCTTTGGCGTAAATATCCGCCACATCAGATTCTGTGCCTCCTCTTGTGTTCCATAATCTTGGTCTTGACGCTCCGGTTTGACTGAAACGCATCTGCCTGTAAATCTCTAATACTGCTAGATGATCGTTTTTGTCCTTGACTGATTTAAGCTCTGCTTCATTGTTTTTATCACTTTGAAGACCGTTCTAATGTTCTGCTTTTTTAACATTTATCCGATCCGATCCTGCCCGTGCGTGTGGGTATGTAAGACAGAGAAGCAAAGCCCCCAGTCTCAAAGATTTGAGCCAAACGTTAGGAAGAATTTCCAGTGGCCCACGGCTTATGAGCTCAAAATTATTCATGCGATATTTTGAGCAATCGTGAAAACTTTTATAGGATTAGAAATTTGTTTTCGCGAATTTATCAATCAATATTGGCAAGCTAAATAAGTATATAGGTTTGTGGACAAAACTAACCAATTTGAGATTGAGAGATTTGAAATCACAAAAATTATGAATTGAAAGTTAAGGGAATGGGAAAATACCAGACAGAAAGAGAATTGCTTGTGACTTACATTGAGAAGACTCTATCTTTCAGTTTAATCTACCGGTTTGAAGAATTGAGTGCACCTCCGAGCTACTGTAATACTAATAAATGTATCGGTGTTTTTTTGTAATCAAGTGATTCTCTTGATTAAAGAAAACCGATTCATTTATTTCATCCAGTGTGTACACAAAATGATGTTAAGTTTTTTTTTTCAGTGTTTGGAATATCCCTCTTCAAAATAATTTTGTACTTGACTGCACCCATCATGTTGGTGAAAACATTGATCTCGTTGCTGCATTGTTTGGTGGCTTCTAAGAATCTCTCTATTATTGATGTTAATGAGCGTAAAGATCTTCTTAAGAAGGCAGAGTAATAATTTCCAGGTCTTCCTTATTGTGGCAACTAAATCAGACCAAAAACCATTATTTGTTGTTATTAGTATTTCCTAAACACTTCCTTGCATTTGCAAATAATATAATAAATGTATGTATTTTATTTCAGTTTAACCTTCTTGTTAAGTGCAGTATTTATTAATTTATTGAAAAGGGCGTCCAAAAAATTGTTCGAAAATGGGAAATATCTAAAAACTCGTGAAAAGAATACCACAAGTCCGTATAACATTGTTTCAAATAAATCTCCTCTTTGGAAATATAGGCTTCCAATTGGCTTATTAGCTGCATCATCATATTTACGGGCCTACCTACTTAAGACATAAAGTTCAAGGTATGAACGTTCGAGAATGTTTCACAAGAAACGCTGGAAAACGTTTATACATTTGCCTAATGACGCACGTAAGTACCCTTCAGTCATGTCGATGATGTGCGCTGTTTCCGGAAAAACGTTATTCTATTTACAGCATGTGTGTGCAAACATGTGCCTTGCCAAATGTGTATGTCCGAAGTGGCGATTTGTATGAAAAAACTTAATGCCAACTTGTAGTATCTTTTTCAAGTATTTGTTTTATACCCAGGTGATTTTCCACATTTTTACGGGCACCCTATAGTATAGAGCTAACTATTTTGCCAGAGTAAAATAATGTGAAATACTTAAGTAGAAATATTACAAATATTAGAACCCTCTAGAGTTATACCAAAAATTTAGTATTATGTGATTATTTAACATGAATGTCATAATGTTGAATTGAGGGTGTTTTTTAATTCGAAAGTTCCAACACCTTGTCGATGTTTATTGAACGCTTGAATTAAGCCTGAGTAACACAGTGAATTTTCAGGTGTTGCCTGCTTGTCCCACAAGTATTTGTGATTTTGATACATGTAATTTTGTTTCGAAGCTACTGGGTCTGCCATAAATTATGACGGAATGGCTTTTGTTCCCTTATGTATGCCAGGGCTGACAAAACCATTTAAATTAGTTTCTTGGTCTTCTTCGCTGACTGATTTTGATGCAATCTGGTAGTAATGCAAAGGCAGGCACTTGTCTTTTTGCATTGTTGAAATATCGCGAATCCCAGATGTTGTACTCCTAGTTTTGCTTGCTAGGAAGAAAAACTTTTTTCCTTAAAATTAATCATAAAAAGTTTCCCATATGATGCAAACTTAAGTATACGAGAAATGGCTATGTTGGTAGCAAAGACAAAACATAAAACATGTAATAAAGAGGTTTTGAAAATAAGTTAAAACGTAGGACTCTCGGTGGCTTCGAAATTCCATAATCGTTCGTGCGGCTTTAAACGGTTATGGTAACTGGGCGTGGCCTTCACGAACTGCAATCCGAAGTCTGCCGTCTTGAATGAGATTAAATAATGTTAAGTGTTGTTCAAGGTGCCGCGTCGTAAGAGGCGAGGTGTCGGAAGCGGGACACAGAGCGGCATCAACACACAAGTGTCTTAAGACGCAGTWTTACCCAGGCCTAGCTTGAATCGTTACTATAAGTATACTTTTGAATATTGCCCTTGAGTAAGGAATATTGGCCGTGAATTTTAAAGAAAATGTTTGTCTATCCAAGTTTTAGGTGCGTATTTTAAAATAATTTTCGAATATGACGTCATAAAAGTGAAGATTCATTTTTTTTAATCCAACCCGCCATTTTCTACCATTTTTGGATCTACCGTAAAAAWTTATTAAATTTTCAGAGTTTTACTCTACGTGCTMAGGRTCACAATTTAACATACCTAAGTAAAATTAAATGAAACCTACCGTGTATTAGCGACTAGCGCAAATTTTAGGACGAAATGGTCACTGACAACGAACGAACAAATACTCTTTTGTAGATGCTGGACTAGGCCTGGGTAACTSWGTGAATTTTTAGGAGTTGGCGCTGTGCTAAGCAAATGGCTTGGTGCGCYAACTCARCGCACAGGCGCAGTAACTCAGTTCCGTTGCMGGGAAAATRTTGATGACTTTTTTAACACTTTTTTTAGATTGATTTTAAAGGCCATTTATTAATATTATTTTTAAAATGTCTTCAAATTTCAGAATTTTCCTGTTTTGGCCAAGTTAATCTTTCTCTAAATGCTCAATTTTTWAAAGTTTCATTTAAAAATGCYGACRATCTTAARGTAATTTCGWATCCTTCGTCGCTTTGTAAAAAKTTTTGAAATCCCTTTCCTGCTTCGAATTTGGAACAAAAATCATACAATTTTCTATCAAAAAACGAACAAACTGCTGAAAAAAAAAACTTTTTTCAGCGTCCAATTCGGGACAAAAACGAAAATAAATTCCTCCCGTTTAACCCGATCACAAAACTAAAAGTTTTTAAGCGTAAACGAAAAAAACAATTATTTTCTCATGATTTTCTTCTTTTCTTACAATAATGGGGTCTTTTCAGTCAAAAATGACAAAATTAATTTTGCTACAAAATGCGCCGCATTTATCGGTTTGCAAGGAACTTTAGAAAATCAATTTCAGATTTGAATGTGTCACAAAAACCAAATAATTGTATTCAGTTTTTTACGGAAGAACGTTTATAAAAAAAAATTCGCCACTCTCATCGCTCTGAAGATTTTTAAAGTTCCTTTATATTTTTCCACCCAAAAATTGCATTTTTTTTAGTTTTACTTAAAATACTGACAATCTTCAGAACCTGACAAGGAATTTTAAATGTTTTTCTTTTGGATGCCGGGTGGAGTTGTTTGTAGTGTGTTTATGTGCAAAAATAATTCAAAAAAAGCAAAGGAAAGTGCAGAGAAACTTTCTTTTTCTCTTTTCGAAAGGACCTTATAAGGCTTAAAAATGGATAATAAAATCTTATTGCAAAGGTATATGGCATGTTGCAAATAAAATAATTTGCAGCAAACATTTCAAACCAGATGATTTTGAAGATGCAGACTAYAATAATAAATACACATCAAAAATGCTGCTGCTGTAAATCTATTATTTTTAAAATCGTGTTAATAACCATTGGTGAACAATTTTAGCACCCGTTATTTTCGTACAGAAACATTTTTGCACCATAGTTTATAAAGCAAAATACCACTAATTTTCCATGTAGAACACACCGTTCAATTCGCATATCATTAAGCAACACCCGGTATTTTATGAAGTCTGTTTACAAATAAATAGGTACTTACATTTTGCCATTTACAAATTAATTTATTCGCTCGTGACTCGTCTCGAGTGCATACCTTGAACTGAGACTTTTGGTACTGTGAGTGTGCAGTTGGATGCGACAGAATGTAAATTGCAATGCTATTAAGCAATTAAATTATAAAGAAACGCCAGCTAATTGCAAACTTACTCAATGGAAACGCTCTGCGCGTTTTAAAATTGAGAACAAACCCCAAACTACGAGCACCAAACTCTAGAAATGTCGGCTGATTCAACGTTTAAAGATTCAATAATTTAAACTGGCAAACATTTGACGTATTCCCGCGCGCTCTCCCATTGGCCCAAAGTTACCAGGCAACCTGTATACTTTTGGAACGTTGGGTGCCGCCACTGTGCCACACAAATATCCATAGATTTGAAACCCCATTTTGAAGCGCATACGGATTTGAAAGCCCAAAACGCAATTTTTTTTCTTGTGTATTTATATGCAACAAAACTTGTATTTTAGTATCTTTTTAATCAAAAATAAATTTAATCCAAAGAGTCATTACCTCAATCGATGCAACCCTCGTACTGACACAAAAAATCCGTAAATCTGTAGCGCCATCTAATAGCTAGAGATCGAAACCCCACAATTAAAAAGACCCTGAGTTTTTAGTGCTTTTCCTTCTTTCCATTACAGAAATCAATGTTGGTAGCATAGCATCGAACGTTGCCAACACTTGCAATATTTAGCGATGAGGAGAGATATATTTATTCACTGAATTCAAACAACAGACATCATCAAACATTCGGATTGTAGAAAAATTTGTTATAAATGTCACGTCGATAAAATGCAGAATTGAAGCTTTTTTAGCTCTTTAAACACACGTAACATTTTGATGGAGGACCGCCAATAAAGGTTTTTCCGTGGTTTATGCACACATGTAAAACAGAGATAGACAGATGTTTACAAATATTCTTAAACCAATTGATCAATGTTAATATTTTTAGTACTACTAATTATATTAGGGAAATTTGCTTGATAATTTTCTATCATTACTAGAAAACCTTAACGTCATTTTATTACGAACCATAAGTACTTCGTCGACTTGGCATCAATGTAGAAGCATCATGGGCAAATCGAATGGCGTTTCGGTGTGTTTTGCATAGGTTTGTCGTTGTGCACCTCGTTTAAATTGAAAAATGCCGCGTGCTAAGAAAGTTGTAAGTTTTCAATCAGCCTGAAAGTGCAGTAGACATCGTAGACTTTGAGTTATTGCAAAAGTTTTATTGCTTTACATCTGTTTTGCATGAAAAAACGTTGGCAGAGAAAAAATGGTAATGTCATTTTTTTGTTACCGTCATTCCTCCCTGGTGTTATCTGTTTATTTTTGCCTTTTTTAAAGTTAAATCCCATTAATTCTGCATTTTGTAGCTGCTTTTCTATTCCTCGACCCTGCTTGATTCATTGATTTTTTAAATTTTTGATGATTTTTTTCCTTATCAACCCTACACATGCGTTTAAAAATTCATAACCAAAAAATACAAAAAAACATTGGTCGATTTCACGTATTTGGGGCTTTCTGTTCTATTAGTGATTATGTTATAGGGCTTACGACTTCAGTTATAGATCGCTTACTGCCATTAGGGCGTTGGTTTACGCCATATTTGCCTTGGAACTGAAATCAAAGCATATAGTCTTAAGCGTACTTACGAGACTTAAAAGGTGCAAAAGCACTGGTATTTGCTATTTTCTTATCCTTCCTTATATATGTTTTCCAAATTACCTTATCTCTAATAATTAAACAGAGGTTTACATTAAATAAATTGAAAAGTTTTGAGTCGAAGAAGATGAACATTGTTCATCAACAAAAACGTGCTTTATCAACTAAAATAAAAAATAATACATTTGTTTGTCTTATTAGTGTTTCAATTATCTGCAGTGAGTGATTTCCACTGAAATTCAGTCTTTACCATTAATAACACTATCTTTTGCACAATCCGTATCAAGCTTTAGGTTATAAAAATTGTTCAACGTTTCATGTGCGGACGTGAATAATAATGGTCTGTTTTTTTATGTATATTCTCGTCACAATTCATTTGTTACGATTCTAAATCTCTCACTTTCCAGATCACAATTCACTCTCACAAATCAGATCGCACCTCTGAATAGTCTGCACGCGCATAGTTTCTAACCACTATCCCTATTCTTTGCTTATTTACAGATATTTTAGTTTTTGCCTTATGCAGTTTTGATTCTTATCTTTTGACACTGTTTTGCTAGTCAAAAAAAGCCATGGACGACGAAGATTTATCTGGAAGTGATTTTGATGACGATGAAGATCCTGACAAAATTGAGGTTCCGGGTAAGTTGTGTTGAACATTATTAATACGTTTATATAAAATCTATCACATACTGCTAAGAAAGCTAATATTTACTAAAACCTGCATGTTATGAGCTTGTATACCTTGTATACTTGAATTCACGAACTTGAAAATCAAAGGTGTCTGTATATAAATGTTGAATGTTTGCAGGAGGTGGTAAAGATCTCGCTACAGCCGCCGCAATTGGAGAGAACCGAGATATTAAACTGAAACAAGAAAAAGATTTGAAGCCAGACATTAAATTGAGGCAAATGGGTGCAATGGGAATGAATAGCAAAATGATGGGTGGCATCCCAGGAATGAATTTGCATCCTAGCGCATACGACATGATGAGGCAACCTAGTAGGTGTTTTCTTGTTAATACATATCTTATTTCAAAGCAATTCTAATCTGCTAATCATTAATTTAAAAATGGAACAGGGGACATTTACTTTTATTCATTAAGTATGACTTCAGATGAAAGTTAGGCAAGGCAGGTACAGTTTTCGGTCCAAATTGATCACACAGCTGTTTTGAAATCAACCAATACGTAGACACCATACTGAATGTACAACTGTTCTGAAAGCGATTTATGTTAAGTTAATTTCATGTTATCTGATTTTCTTTATTTGATATTTTTGAGCGGCTTTTGCAATGCTTTTGTAAAATGCCTGCTCAAATTTTTAAGCCAAATTTTTTTTTAAAACTATGGTATTGCAGCTCCCCTGTTTCATTTCTCATGAGTGAGTCCTCGATTTTTGCAGAACCTTTTAAGGTCTATGCAAAGTATATTGAAAGAACATAAACATAGAGGAAAAATAGAAACCAAAATCTAAAAGCAAAACGTAAGATTATAATTGCGGATTAGATTTTGGCCAACAATTATTATCTCATGGACACGACAATATGACTTTTTGATTTCTTGTATTTGATTAAAATTGTATCCACATCATCTATAAAACATGTATACACTTTTGCGGAGAGAGTGAGATATATGAACATTTTTAGTGGAAGGAATTAACTGCATACCTGTAATGTAAAAGTTATATCAAATATGGATTTTCTAAAAATCATAACTAACACGGCACAATTGGCGATACCAACTTGTATAGTAATCGAAAAAAAGCTTTACATACGAACCACCTACGGACGGAGAGGGCGGTTTTTAAGACCCGCGTTAATTTTGATTTTCATTATTTTACGTGAAAACTAGGCAAATTATCATGGTATAAAAGCGTGCAATTTAAGGCTCTATCCTGCAACTGAAACGGCATTTGAAAATAAGGCAAAGTTTTAGAAACTTTGCCGTCTTTAACCAGCTTTATTTATAGGCATATAGTAAATCCTTTCTGCTCAATGTGACTTTCAATTTTTATTAAAAATCAAAAAGCATATTTTCGAAACGATACTAGATGTTGGCGTACAATTTTAATCAAAAACAAGGAAAAAGCGTAAACAATTTCATATTATTTTATATATAGTTATAATGTAATTTTACTAATAGAATCTTTGTCTAAGAAATATATAGGGTGCCCGCATTAGAATCTCGGAAATGATAAGAAATACGAGGACGCTAAATTGGGGCAAAGTCGCGCATTTTGGAGAGCTTTGTTAAATATCATTTTAATTTTTCTTTTAAAATTCTAACTTCTACTGGATGCTCTGATGGCTGATGTTTTAAATTTCTTACGTACATTTCTTGTGGATTAGTTCGATGAAAACATTTCAGCTTGTCTGAGTAATCTCTGGAAATCTCAGCACGACGGTAAATACTAACTAACCCCGCAATGCTAGAAATGTCCGTGAACATTTAACAGAATGTTCCCTAAAAGAGTCATTTTCCAAGGTGGCCTGCAAGGTCCCTTGATCTGGCGCCCTTAGACGATTTTATGTGGGGCGCAAGAAAAAAAATTTAACGTTTCTAATATTGGGTTTTTCCAAACATTAAAATGGTACTTGACAAAGCTGAAAAATGCGTGATTTTGCATCTCACGGTTTTAGCGATTCGAATGGTGAGGTTTGTAGATCAGACGCTGGTAGAATTTTAAGAGTAAATCGTCTTTAGTTAGTTTTTTGTAGGGTATTCCACTGTTAGTGTTGTTATGATGAAAAGTTAGACCACTAATGTGGGTTTCTGGTGGCAGTTTGAAAGATTTGATGAAGTAACAACAATTTTCGAGCTGATTGATCTTATCTTTCAGTATATTAACTTTTTCGGCACGGCTCATACAGGACAAACATATCACTTACAGTCTCAATAGACTTTACATAAACTTTGCCATTTTATACCGGGTAGTTCGCCAAAATGTATCCAAGCATGTTGGCAGTTTCTAAAAAACGCTCAGACCACTATTCGTTTTCCTGCGGGGTCATGTTCTACGTTTCTTTTTATCCCTGCAACTTTAAGACCTTGGGGATGGTGGGTGGCTTCACCCTTATTTTTTTTTCAAATTGCCGAAGTTTATGATATTGAAATGGCTTTAAATTCTGTATACAAGGTGTTTAGAAATTGGCGTCATTCCTTAAGGCCTCAGGGGTTATAGGTGTTCACTTGGAGAGGACAAGAAAAATATTGAAAAAAAAATTCTAGAATATATTAACAATTTAAAATTATATTAATAGTAAAAAAATCAACTTTCTTATTAAGAATTATTTTGAAATGGTTACATGTTTGATTGGTAGCTTATTGAAATACTTATAAGAAAAATTACCATCTTTACTTCAAATTACGAAAAAAAATTATATTCAAAAAGTGCTCTTCTACATTTTTTTCATGAAAAGTCATAACGGAAATAATGTTTTTTGTAATTAACAGATATATCGCCTTTGTCAATAATAACAAGCATTTGTCAAACTGGGACTACCTTCATGCGCCTTTCACAAAATGTACACCAACATTGAATTTGCGAATATGCTATTAGTTATGGGGAAATGCCACAGTAAAATAACAGAAGCTCATTTAGAAATGTTTTTCGGGCCGTTTTTTGAAGCCGTGGTCCATGGGAATTTCTTCCTGACGTTTCGTCCACAACTGCGGTGAACATTATCAAAGGCGATGAGGCAGTGGGCAAAGTAATCTCCCGTGCTTTCCGACTAACACTGGTTCAACTACTGGATCCCCTGTCGTATTTATGCGGCCCCGCCGTGTGAGCTCATGCGTGAGGAGTGGACGGGGTTTCAATTGTTTTGGCGCACACGCTGTTTGACGCAGAACGCGTTTCAAGTCTGGATTAACGGCCGTTACCACTTTCCCTATTAAAATTGTTGTCATGTTTAAAGATCTCAATGGTCTCTCTGGTTAGCCTCGTGTTATACTCGAATACCTATCGAATATTCGTTAGATATTCGAGCATTCGAATAATTTTACTATTTAAATAAACCACTAAACACCGAAAAATTCCGAGCACTAGTGTGAAGAGCCCATTTTTTTCTATTATTTTGAAATTTTTCAAATCGAATATTTTCTTTTGCGATATTTGGCGTATCAAAAATCAAAAATGTATGCGAAAAATTAAATTTTGATTTCAGGTGCCATCTAGTGGGAAAGTGGAGAAACAATTTTAGTTTTTTATCAGAAAGTTATAGATCACCTATCATCACCAATCACCAAAAAAAAAGAAGTTTGATGTAACTTGGAAAACATTCAGATTTCGAATTTTTGTTACATGACTTACTACCATTATTTTAGCATGTAGAATCCACTTAAAGATTTTATATCCATCCACTTAAAGACATTATCCGGAAATCCGGGTTTTTTTAAATATTAAAACCATGAAATTGTTTTAAAATCAGTGATCCTACGAAAAAATGTGTCAAATAAAAAGTTAATGTATAAGAAGGGGACGTTGATTCATGTTAGAGAAAAAAACTCCTACTTCGATCTTGTAGCCTAGACAGGAGCCACCTTGATCATTTCAAATAGTAAACACAATAGAAGTGAGAATATTTTATCTGTAACATTGTCTTCGATTTTGAGACGTGGCACTCTATGGGGCCAAATATATATTCTCTTATACTCGATTGCTGGGATATTTAAGGTTATACCCACGCGTGGGCGGGCACATTATGACTGTCAATAATGTTCCTTATTCCTATTTGGCCCCATATTCTTATGTAGGTGCCACCTGTCGAAATCAAAGAAAATGTTTTGATTAAACATTCTCAGTTTTTGACGTACTACTCGAATCTGCAGTAAAATGATCTGGCTACTATTTGAAATTATCAAGTTGACACAAGGTCAAAGTAGGCGTTTTTTCCTAACACGAGTAAACTTTCCCCTCTCAGATATTAATTTTTAATTGACACATTTTTTCATAGGATCACTAATTTCCAAAATATTTAAGCGCTTCAAGTTAAAAAAAACCACCCAGTATATTAACAATATTTATTTCTTCGAAAAAGGCTATCGACCCATCGGCCGTTCTGCCCTTGTATAGTACAAGTCTATTGCGTCTTAGCCTAGCTTTTTCTAAATATAATTTTATTCTTAATATTTATACTAAAATAATAACCAAAAAAAGTCCAACGTATAACAAAAAAAATATTTTACCTAATCTAACTAGGTTCTTATTTAAAATATTAAAAAATAGTATACAATGGTACAAAACACGAAAGTCGAAGACCTGCCTGGACTACCTGGATAACGCCCTCGGCTTGGCCTCGGGCGTCAACTTCAAGCAGTGGCAGTCTCGCGTACCGTATACTGTTTTTCTTGATCCTCGGTGGAAACTAGCCGGGAAAAGTTAAAAAAAAAACGGCTTTGAAAATGTTTTCAAAACCGTCCAGCTGTCAGCGTGAGTGGCGATAGCTATTACTTTCCACACGTGATGAAGAAAATTTAATTGAATAATGGGAGGGAAGGTAAATTGTCCTTGTCATGTCATTGTAATGAGTAAAAGATTTCACTATCGAAACCAGTGGCGAAACTGCACTTTTTACCAGGGGATCAAGAAAAAATCTTTCTGGGTTGACAATAAATCTTTAAACTATTTTTATTGCCCAGTTGGTTGGTTCAGTTGCGTTTCAGTGTGCTGTTTTAGGGAAAAAGAAGCTGGATTGTTTGGTTGGTCTTGTAAAGCAAAGAGATTCAGTATGGTCCAGTTGTGGGGGTCGTTTGTCCATTTTATCTGTAAATGTCTTAATTCTTAAAAATAATGTGTTTCCGAAATCTTTGTCATGTTGTGCGTTCGTAAAGTAGTTGGTTGGAAGGGTTGTGCAGTGGGTTTTGGGGATGTCTTATTTTTGTGATAATGTTAGTGCGATTTGTTCAGTGGTTTGTGTATGCCGTTTGATCTTTTCCGTTGCGTTTGTTCTGATACATGTTGATTTGTATATTTGTGTTGCGGTTTTTGTGCTGATCCCCGGAGAGTTGTCTTTAATTTCGTGATTGGTCAGAGCAGCTGGTTTTTCGTTGCGGTATTAGTCTCCACTTGCAGAAACATGTCGTTGTTTCGTCTGACATTGTTTTAAGTTTTTCAACAGCTTTTACTGTTGCTTTGTCGTGTACGATCAGTGGCGTGTCGTCAGCGTACTGTAGAATGTAGGAGGATTTCTCTATGTAATTTTTGTCAAGTTGGTGAGTCCCTTGTGCCAGACACTGTCAAATGCCATTAAGAGATGAGAGTCTTATTGTTTTCAGTTAGTACGTGGTTAGTGGGTGTATATTTGAGTGTAGGTTTAGAACCGAATTGGTATGGTGGTATGTTTTGTCCAACTAATTGTTGTAGCTTGTTTTTAATTATAATTTCGAATATTTGATTCAACACTGGAAGTAGTGTGATAGGTCTGTGGTTTCGGGTTTCCGAGTTGTGCAGTCCGGTTTAGGGAATAGGTATTACTACTCCCGTTTTCCAGGCGTTTCGTATTGTGTTATCGCTAAGACATTTGTTAAATAAATTCAGTACGATGTTATGTGTTTCTGGAGTTAGGTTTCTCAGGACGTTACTTTTATTGTTATCCTTTTCTGGTGCGGTATTTTTTTATGTGTTCCAGTGCTTTGTTATGTTCTTCGTCAAAAATTGGTTCATAGGTGCGGTTGTCGTCGTTGTCAAAGTAGTTGTCGTGCCAGTCATTAACTCTGTTCCAGTTCTGGTCGTCAAAATTCGGGTTTGTGGACGTTGTAAAGGTCTCTTGATCCTGGTTTGTGTACTGTTGTTTACCGGTTTCGTTAATTGTTCCGGTTAAGTGGTTTTTTTTATGGTGAGCGTTTTTTATTTTTTGCCAGTATATTTTTCCTTCGCCTTGTTATATTTCTTGAAATTATTCTACCCATTTGTTTTGATTGTATTGTCCTATCAATGTTTTTACATTTGTGTTAAGCTCGTTTAGTTTTCTTTTTAGTCCGTCGTCTTGTGTACAGCCTGTATTTCTTTTTCGTTTGATCAGTCTTGGTTTGAATTTGGGTAAAGCATGTTGAAAGAATGTGTTCTTTGTATAGGGTGAATATTTTTCTACCGCTATCGTCAGTCGTTGCATAACTTCGATGGTGCATGCTACTTTCCGGGATTGTATATAGTTATGTGTGTGAAGCGTCACTTTGTCTATGTCTGCTCTGTTTAGGTTCAGTTTTAGGTTGTCCTTTGTCGAAGTCACATGCTGCGTTTGTCGAAGGTCTATGTCAAATGTTATTACCAAATGGTTCATGCCAAGTTCATTTGTCAGGTGTTGGTTGTGTGCAGTAATACGTCCGGTGTTGACTCTGGGTTTCATGGCATCAGGAATGTTGATGCTGTTGGTCTTTTTTTGAAGTCGGAGTTATCTAGAAATTTGTTTGGTCGCGTTGTCTTGTTTCGATTTAGGTTGAGGTCACCGATTATTATGGCGTATTTGTACAGGCATGCTTTCGTAAAAATGTTTTGTTGGAGTCTGGAGTGGGGATGTATTTATACTAGGAATATTTGGATTCTGTCGTCGTGGTACGGGATAGTGAAGTGTAGGCATCCGTTAAGATGGTTCTTAATGGATGGGGGACTAGATTTTCATAATTTAATTGTAGGTGTCAGCAATACGTTTGCACCCCCTCTGGCGTTTTGCGTCATACTTCCATGTTTACACACGTACTGTCGGTATTTGTCCATGGTTAGTTTTGGTTTCCACGAACATGCCTCAGGCAGTGTTATTTCGTTCAATATAGTTATAAATGAGGTGTGTTTTGTTTTTAGTCTGTTTTTGTTACCATATATTAATTTAAATTCGAGTGTCCTGTGTTCGTAATTGTCTGTCTAAAGTTGATCGAGCGGTTTTGTCGGGGAACTCCCACTGGGGTTGACGAGTTTACACGTTTCAGTTTTGGTACCGATTTTTTGCTCCGATAGTGATATACAGTTGCCATTCGCAAATCTAAGGGCAAGCAATATTGCAGCGAAGCTTTGTAAAAATATTTACTAATTTTTGCGGCTGTGGCTTAGTCATGGTGGCACTGTATCTAGACAACAAGGAAAAAGAAAAACGAAGATATTTTAGAGAGGACAAGAGAAAAAGCAGATTTTAGGTCCATGCTGCTTGGAAAACCAGACCTCATGAAAGAGAATTTTTCTCACTTTTCTCTCATGTGTTGGACGACGAGACGAAATTTTGTTTACATCAGTCATCATCAGTCAAAATACAGTACTTTTGCAGTGCAGTATTTCCTCCCTTATTCAATTAGCTCCTCAGGTTTAATCAAGATCATTATTAAAACCAAAACAAAATGTATCACTGACGTAACCTAAACGAGTACCGTTTTTCCTACCGGTAATCGGTGTGGTGGGTCTGGAAGTTCTTGTGGTTGTTTTCCTGCCTCGCTTTTTGCCTGATGCAATTTTTTCATTAGGCAATCAATGACAGGAACAATTCGTTTCTCGAATTGCTGGTTATTTTATTCCAAGCCCCCGACGGCGACAGGCTAGAGCCCAGATTGTTCGCAATTTCACACCCAGGCCAATGTTGTTGGTGTTTTCCTGCCTCGCTTTTTGCTTATGCAATGAAAAGCAGGAAAAATTACAGTTTCTCGAATTAGACGATGATTATTTTATTCCAACGCCCGATCGCGAAAGGCCAGATTGTTCGCAATTTCTTAGAATCCAACATTTGCCTGCTAGCTGGGAATTGTTTGCCGAAATCCGATGCACGGTTTTATTAAAAAGTTATATCAAAAACAGATTGCCATGTTTTACATGGGATTCTAAATGTCAGGCGTCAATAAACATGCATGTTTAAAACGGACTTCATGTCTACTATATCTTAAACTCATCACAAAGATGAGTTTATATAAGTCACGTAAAGCACCCTTCCTACCAAATTTATTAAAGAACACCAACAATTCTGTAGTGGGTCCCCCATTTGGCGCTCCGACAAATTCGGCCCACATGGGCAATCTTGCCGCGATGGCCTCAATGCTGAGCAGTATTACAGGAGGACCCATGGCCAACATGTTCGGTGTTGGGCACCAGGGAGGGCCAGGAGGCTCCGGTGGGGCCTCCGCTTCTGCTGCTGCTTTTAATGCAGCTCAATTCTTGCAGCAGAGTAAGTTTTGATGCAGTCTCAATACTAGGGTTGCCTAATTAACTTCTTGCGCTCTAGTAATGCAATTTTTTTATATCACGATTGGCCAATTAATTGCGGAGATCCACAGGGGCTGGTAGATGTAGAGTTGCATCCATAGATGTTGTTATCTTGAGTAGGAGGCTGTTTATTAATTGCTGCACTAGTTAATAGGGCATGGGAGACACGTTTATGCACTTCTCCTACCGAATGAACAATTAAAACAAATTTAGTTTTTAAGCACCTGTATGATGCATAATTTGTCAGGCAGAGTGAATATTGTATGTCATGGTGCTCACATTTTGCCTGCATGTGACGTTCTATTAAACGAAAGATGTAATTTAAAAGAATGATTGATGCCGCTGTTTCACAAACTATTATTACTAGGTATAATTTTATTTTCTGCTTAATTAACCACTTCAAAATAAGGTTTTTAAATTATGCATTTTAGGCTTGTTAGTCACATGAAAATACGTTATTTAGCAAAATATTTACTACTAGTGTTTTCAGTGGAAATGGCAGCATTTGGAATGGGCGGAAATCCATACGGAAATCCAATTTTGCAAAATTTATCTGCTATGTTATACAATACCAACCCAATGGCTCCATGGGGTGGTCAACTTAGTAATAAGGTAGGTTACGGTTTTCCATTGTTAGAAAGGGATACCTGAATTTTGTTTTGTTACTCTTATTTAATACAACTTACTACTACTAGGCTGTTCAACAAATGTGGATGAATCCAATGGACAGCAAATCGATGCCCCAGCATCAAGACGAAGAGGAAGTGGATGACGAAGAATTAGGAGTTGCTGAAACGTATGCGGATTATATGCCTTCTAAATTGAAACTAGGTAGGAATTGTTGACTGGTTTCCTGTTATATATATTTATAATGTTGTAGTGTGCTGATGGTCAGGTTAAAGTAGGACTCAATTGAGTTTCTGAAATAACAGTTTATTTATTTTTCGAGTCTGCTTTACATGGCTAAGGGTAAATGCTTACCTAACATAACAGACACGACATTTAAAGTCTTTACATAAATGCTTCTAAAATTGTCTTTACATAGAGTTATAACAATTGACTTTATGTGTGATATGTGCACGTGTTCTAATACGGATCTAATTATCTTCTTGCTGTCGACTCCCCACATTACTTACAGTCTATAAGTGCGCGAAATATGAAAGTCACATATGTATTGTCTTTACATCACCCCTTCCCGGCGGAAATGAAGTAGAATTGTTGGAAAAATCCGCCGTAAGCTTCGTCATGAGAAACAAATTTGACTGATTTTTATATCCGGTATTTATCTTGAAAATTTAATTCGATATTTTTTCTATGCTTTTGAATGGTCCACTTCTTATTTCGTCTAATTTTTTCTGTTCAAACAGCTTCCGTTTTCAAGGTATACCAGATCACCAACTTTGAACTCGTGGTTTATTATATTTTTAACATTTACAGTCCAGACATTTAAAGTCCTTGCTTTTACAATAGCCTTTACAGAGTTATAATAATTGATTTTTATCTGTTATCTGTGCACGTGTTCTATAAGTTCGTGAAATATGAAAGTCATATATTGGTTCTACATATTCATTTAATTAATTGTTTTTTCCAGGAAAAAAACATCCAGATCCAGTAGTGGAGACAGCTTCGTTATCTTCGGTAGCCCCAGTAGATGTATGGTATACTGTGTCTATCCCTGAAGAGACAATTAAGACGGGAGCATTATCAGCTTTACAATTGGAAAGTATTACATATACGTCACAAGCACACGAAAATATTTTACCTGGTGGAAGTAGGGCAGGATTTTTAATAGGTAGGCTTACTTAACATATTGAACAGCTAGATGTTATTAAAAAATGAACTGATGCGAAATGCAACATGGTTTAAACAACTCAGTATTTGCAATATTTAATATTCAATGTTATACTTATGTCTAAGTACTTGTTTGCATATATATCTTTACGTATATGTGCAATTAATGGCCGTTTTCACAGCTAGTAATTTGGTTTTAACCTAACTTTCACGTTGGTGGTCGCTTGATTATTAAAGGGCCAATGTAAACAAAAAGTATAAGTATTGTCTTCAAAAGTCATAGCGAAGGGACATCTTTTCAATTTACAATACAATTTTTATCATAACCTTATTTCACAAATTGTAAACAAAATATGAATAAGAAAGTTTTCCCGAAATGAAAATAGGGGTTAAAAAACCTTTCATATCCGAAATACGCTCCATAAGTCTGAGGTCACACGCTGCTCACGCCACAAACTAATTGTTGTATCTGGTTAGCATTGGACATAACTTCTATATTTAGACAACTATTTTGTTCACTTCTTCTTCTTCGCTTCAGGTTTGAGGCACTTTGTCTGTTACGGTACCAATAATTTTCTCGGCCTTCCGACATCTCTTCTTCCATATGGCATTGATAAAATCTGGACTTTGGCTAGTATCCTCTTCTCGTGCATCCGCTCTACGCGTTCTTTCCAACTGCCTTTATTTCCTTTATTCTCTCATTCATATTAAAGATATTTAATTCCGTTCTTATATCTGTTTCTTAGTCTGTCTAGTTTTGTGCGACTTTTTACTCTTAGAAATTTAATTTCTTGTACGTGTGATTCTACTTTCCCCCATTTCGATGTTGTCCACGTTTCACTACCGTATAAGAGGATTGGTACAGCTATCGTCTTGTAAAGTTTTATTTGTGGATCTTTTCATGTTTCATTTTTTAATGCTCTGCTGATAGTTCCGCAAATACAGGGTGATTCAAAATTGGAGTCTTTTCTTTGGAGATGTTGTCTGGCGGTGTTTTAGGAGTACAGAAAAAATAGTGAAACAAATTATTTGTTATTTAAAACTGTGAAATTTGCAAAAAACTAAATTAGAAAAACGGCAACAATGTTTTCCAAGGTAATCTGGCTAATTAACATTACATAAATACCTGTCACTGAGCACACCCGCATAGTCTCTGCAACTGGCTTGTTCGTTAGCAAAGCCCTTTTCCATGCTTTTCGCCGATCCACGTTCTTTTTAACTCCTTTTCTGTTTGTGACGGCGTCTTGGGCCACTATTTCTTTTTGAGACATAATGAAAATGTATGCTTCTGTCTGTATGCTTTCGCGAGTGACATTTTTTTACAGAACAGTTCGTACTATGTATCGTACGGCTACTTACATTCATTTTTGTTCTAATTGAAATTCAAGCTGTCACTGTTCGCTTGTTTACCAACTCCAATGGATAAACAAGTCTGACAAGTCTCAACTGTCACTCGACAACGAGTAATTTGACGTTTCGCAGCGCCCCCATCGATAGTTGAATTCCTCTTAAGAAGGCCTTAAAATTTAAGCGTTTCATAGTCATTCTTTACTTATGATGAAAAAGGGCATTAATCAGCTCCCAAATTATTTTTTTGAATCGAGAATTTTTGAACTTTAATATTGTGTTGATAAAATAGTTAATTAATTTTAATGCAACATTTAAAACTCGTTTCAATGACGACATATTAATCTCTCTCTAGGGGATGGTGCTGGTGTAGGTAAAGGCCGAACAATTGCCGGAATTATATATGAAAATTACCTAAAGGGTCGTAAAAGAGCTATTTGGGTATCTGTATCTAATGATCTAAAATACGACGCGGAACGTGATCTGCGCGATATTGGAGCTGGGAAAATTGAGGTTCATCCACTCAATAAGTTCAAAGTAAGTTTATGTCAATTTTACGGTAAGCAACTTCATTAATTGTTGGTTGTTAATTGCAGTATGCCAAAATTTCCTCAGCTGTCAACAATAATGTAAAGAGAGGTGTTATATTCAGCACGTACTCGGCATTAATCGGTGAAAGTAACTCGGCTGGAGGAAAATACAAGTCGCGCTTAAAACAGCTTCTCCAATGGTGTGGGCAAGACTTTGATGGTCTGATTATTTTTGATGAGTGCCATCGAGCAAAGAATTTATGTCCGGTTGGTTCGTCGAAGCCAACAAAAACTGGTAAATTGCAAATTATAACATAACCCAGAAGACTTCACACTAATTTGACAATATTTTCTTCAGGTTTAACCGTTCTAGAGGTTCAAAATAAATTACCGAAAGCTCGGGTAGTGTATGCTTCTGCTACTGGGGCTTCTGAACCACGAAATATGGCCTATATGGTACGATTGGGCTTGTGGGGCGAGGGTACTCCATTTAATGAATTTGCGGATTTCATTTCGGCTGTGGAGAAACGTGGGGTTGGTGCCATGGAGATTGTTGCAATGGATATGAAATTACGAGGTAACTGTTACTAAACTGACTAACTTATACTCATTTTAATCGTATTTTATAGGAATGTACATTGCTAGACAATTAAGTTTTCATGGGGTGGCTTTCAAAATTGAAGAAGTGCCACTGTCAAGAGACTTTGAGAAAGTGTATGATGCCAGTGTGAAATTATGGGTAGAAGCAATGCAAAAATTTAATGAAGCGGCTGAGCTTGTCGACGCCGAAAACCGCATGAGAAAAACTATGTGGGGCCAGTTTTGGTCTGCTCATCAAAGGTACCGGTTTAATAGAACTATAAACATTAATTGATACTCATTTCATTTTGGTTTTGTAGGTTTTTTAAATACCTTTGCATTGCCGCCAAGGTTCCACATGCAGTTGCAGTGGCGCATGAAGCGATTAAAATGGGCAAATGTGTAGTTATAGGTTTACAGAGTACAGGAGAAGCAAGAACATTGGAGCAACTCGAGCGAGACGATGGAGAACTGACTGATTTTGTATCTACTGCTAAAGGTATGGTATACAGACTGGTGTGTCAACATTGCTTTTATATTCATCATAACCAAGCCATGATTATATTTGAAATCAAAGAATATAAACAACTGGACAAAATTAACGCATAAAAAAATTTCCTATCATTACCTTTATTTTTTTAAGTGTAAAATAATGAGAATTTCTGCTGATGCGTTCATTTTGTCCAGGAATGTATTTTATCTATTTGCCATTGCCGTATACTTTTTTAAAAACTAAGACGTATTTTTTCAGGCGTCTTTCAAACGTTGGTTGAGAAACATTTTCCTGCACCTGACAGAACCAGAATACATAAACTGTTGGGAATAGGGGCAGGAAGTGAATTGGCAAAAAAATTGTCAAACGGCAACTCGGACGAAGGAAGTTCGTCCCAAAAACGCAAGCCAGTGAGGCAAGCTGCACAACGCGCGGTGAAGCGAAATAAGTGGTCTACTTCAGACACGGACAATAGTGAGAAAAGTGATTCCGACTTTCAGATGTCAGACAACGAAAGTGAGATTTCGGACGGGCATAGCGATTCTAACCAGTCTAGTGATTTCAATCCTTTCAATTCGGATAGGTAATCCCTTTGTTGAAATATGCAAAATACAATTAGCAAAGCAATCGTCTACAATAATATGAATTGTGTATGTGTGTGTGTATTAAAGATTATAATTGCTTTTTTAGCGATTCGGATAACGACCCATGGAGCAGAAATAAGAAAAAGGGCAAAAAACAGAAAAAAGCTCCTAAAAAACGACAATCCACACAAGATAAATTATCAGTTTTGTTAACTCAAAAAACCACTAAAGGTACATAATTATTTATTATTTCTACAAAATGTAACGTACTGTTTCCTAGCCAAAGCGAATGGAGGTTCTGATATTAATTCATCAGCCCCCCCGATGGATGCTATAGAAAGAGCATGCAGCATGAAAGAAGAGTTGCTACGTGCAATAGAAAGGCTGGGCGAAAAATTACCCCCTAATACTCTAGATCAACTAATTGACGAATTAGGTGGTCCAGAAAATGTTGCAGAAATGACTGGTTAGTTAATTAACCTACACCCATATGATACAATTCAAAACATATTTTTTTCACAGGTAGAAAAGGCAGGGTGGTTCAAACGGAAGACGGGGGTATTCAGTATGAAAGCAGATCGGAAATTGACGTACCACTAGAAACTTTGAACTTGACAGAGAAACAAAGGTTTATGGATGGAGAAAAGGATGTTGCAATTATTTCCGAGGCGGCGTCTAGTGGTATTTCATTACAAAGGTACATGCTGGCAAATAGCTAAAGCCAATAACAAACGCATTTAATCCTTGCTTTGTTTTATACTGCTCCTCACAGTTTAGAACTGGGATAAATGCATACATTATTTGAGGCCCAAGGGCCTGCATACTTAAAGTCTAGTATGACGGGTAGTATAGGCCTCATACAAATATTTACTACTACAATGAAACTATTCACTCTGCATTCACTCGAATGTTACGTAGTTGTGTTTGGTTATCAGAGGATTATGTGAACAATCAATCACATGATAAAATTACTAAAATTCTATTACGCATCATCACACAGGATTCCGTTTCGACCATATACAGGGTGTCCCGATAAGCGTAAAGAGCGGCTGTATCTTGAGAGCGGTTTGGGAAAAAAATGCTTATTAGTAAAGTTGGCATAACAATGGCTGGAAAAAATATTGAAGTAGCTCGACCGCTAGGGGGAGTAACTTCTACCACAAAACAAAAAGTTCTTGGTATCTGAGAAAAGGCGGCGATGAGCTAAAATTTTAAAAACGTTATTTGAGAGCTTGGGTAATACCACGTCGTTTATTTTTGACATTTTCCGTATTTTTCATAATAAATGACTGCGAGGCCAATGCAGTTTTAACCAAACGGTTTAACGAAAAATTGCTTTTAACAGACATTAAAATCATCGTTCAAAACAAGGCTAAAGATAGTGGAATCGGTTAAGTGGTTCAGGAGATATTGAAATGTAAGTAGTGGTAGTTTGTGGTAGAAGTTACGCCCCCTAGCGGCCGAGCTACTTCAATACATTTTTCAGCCATTTTTTATGCCAACTTTACTTATAAAGATTTTTTTCCCCAAACCGCAAGTCCTTTTCGTTGTCGAGATACAGCCGCCCTTTACTCTTATCGGGACACCCTGTACTATTAAGTTTTAAATTTTCAAGTTAAATTACTAACAGTTCTGTTCGGAAGTGTAACATCTAAAAATACGGCTGTCCGGAAATGGTGCGACCAACGCTGCCCGTGGTAGTTCTAGAGCGAAAATTTGATGATTTTGATCGATTAGAACATTTTATTTCATTGTTAGTGTTTTTCAATTTTACTTAATTTGGGTGCTAACATGATTTTCGATCTGATTTCAGCGATCGGAGAGTGAAAAATCAACGACGTAGAGTACATATCACGTTAGAATTGCCTTGGTCTGCAGATAGAGCAATTCAGCAATTTGGTAGAACGCATCGAAGCAATCAAGTGAACGCACCAGAATATATATTTTTGATATCTGATCTGGCCGGTGAAAGAAGGTTTGCATCTATTGTTGCCAAAAGGTAAGTAAATCGTACTATTGAGAGGAAATGTCAAAAATAAAACTTTGGCACCTACCATCAAATTGTCTACTTTGCAGGCTAGAAAGCTTGGGCGCTTTAACACATGGTGATCGGAGAGCTACTGAAACTAGGGATCTGAGCCAATTTAATATCGATAATAAATATGGCCGAGCCGCCTTAGAAGCCACCATGAAAGCTATAATGGGTTATGAAAAACCAGTTGTCCTTCCCCCTGAAGACTACAAAGGGGAATTTTTCAAAGATGTTGCTGGCGCTTTGGTATGTAAAACATTTAAAAATCGGAGATACTTTTGTTGGCTTAACAAAGACAAAATAACAATAAAACAATTTTTCCTAAAAACGGAGTTATTGGCAGAAAAACTTAGCCTTAAATTTGGCAACAGTAATTATTTTGTCATTACCTGCTGCTTTCGATTGCCTTCTTAAAGGCACGGTTTTGGTGGTGCGATCGGTGACTGTGACTCGGTGCTGCGTTTGGCCGTAGCGTGGTTTTGGGTGATGGGTTTATAGCCGCAACAGATCAGTTCAAGAGATCAATTCGTGAGGTATATTTGAGGAAAAAACTGTTGAAAACATGCTCGATGTCGAACTTTTAACCCTTACTTTGTTAGAAGAGGAGCAAAAGTCTTTGTTGTTGTTTCTAGTTTTCTCCATTCATTTTCTTTTACTGCAAAAATTATATAATTTTCATCTTCGTAATCATAAGTCGATGGGTATTTTCGGACTTCCTCAATAAAATATCATCTTCATTCGCTATAAAACGAGTCTTGTTCCTAAAATCGCAATTCCTACTGCAATATATTTATTTCAAATTTCTCATGGAACATAAGGCGCACTCCTTTTTCCTATATACAGGGTGGTTCTCACTAATGTCGAAAAATGTACTGACATATTGTGCAGGCCGAAATATTGCGTTTCAGACAATTTTGTCTTATAGGAAAGTTAATAGGTTTCTAGATACAGGGTGTCAAAGTGTAAAATAAAATTTCGTATTTTCTTAATAGATTTTTAACCAGACTTAGTAGTACCACAAAAATTTGTGTTTGAGGGTTTTTTAATCGGCAAATACAAATTTCCTATTATCTACCTTGTAATTCATAGAGGGCGTCTGCAACAGTCTGGAGCCATTTAAAACATCAGAACTTTTTCGGATTTTAATATATCGCCAATAGTTCCACAACAAAAAAGGTGTAGTTGATTCAAGTCGATATCTGTAATCGTTTTCGAGTATTTCACATTGAAACATCTAGTGATTTTTTGAACTAATTTGATCTCTAAATAAAAGAAATGTTCTGCGCAAATTGTCTATTAAACAAAACTTAACCAACATTAGACAGTATTTATTTGGGAACGTTCAGAACTACTTTAAACTGCTTTTTGAACCCAGAAAAACCTGTGAAAATTAGTATTTCACAATAATTGTTCGAAATGATATCCTCTGGCTTCAATACATTTCCTAACCCTTCTAGTAAATGATTGTCGTATTGAAAAAAAAAACGTGTTTGCCTCGGAAGACTTCTGCAGCATTTAAAATTTTCTGCCACAATTCTTCCCTGTTGTTAATGGGATTGTTATAAACTAGGGATTTCATAAAACCCCAAAAACAGAAATCCATTGGGTTAAAATCAAGGCTTCTGCTAGGCCACGGTATTGAGCCTCCGCTCCTATCCAGTGATTCGGAAATTGTTCATCAAGATAGTTCCGACCTTGAACACCAAAATGAGTGGGAGCGCCATCTTACATGAAGCAAAGATTATGTCGAACGAAAGGGGTATGTCATCTAGATAATTTTCCAATTCGTTCTGAAGAAAATCTACTGACTGTATAACTGACTAGTCAAATTTACACGAAATTCATGTGGACCTATTAGATAATTCCTTATGATTCGGCATTAAACATTAATTTTGAGTTCATGCTGGAAATGGCGATGTGAAACGGCATGTGGATTTTGAGTGTCCCATTGATGTTTATTTTTGTGGTTGAAGACCCCTCTACGGGTAAAAGTGGCTTCGTCAGTAAACAGAACATTTTTTTTTAAATCCAGGATTACGTGTTTCCTGTTCACGCATGAAGAAAGCAAACTGCATTCTAACGTGAAGATCGGGTTCTAATAAATCTTGGACTGAGGAAAAATGAAAGGGATGAAACTTATCTTTCTTTAAGATTTTGAGGGTACTTGTTTTGCTCATACGCGTAGTTCTTGCTACTTGTCTACTGCTAATTTCTGGATTATAAAGCACTTGAGTTAACTTCTTGATCGACGGAAATAGCACGCCTTTGGCCCGCTGTGTCCCGCTTAGGACGAAAACTACCAGTTTCTCCAAGCCGTTGAAACAGATTTTAGAATAGTTTTTGATTTGGTTGCCGGATATAAATCTAAATATCGGCGATGCGCTCTACTTCCAACATTATTTTCTTGCGCATAAACACATACCATATCGCGCATTTCTTCATTCTTAGTGGAACTTAAATATTTTTTTTAGCACTTAACTGACAGTAAGATAATTGTTGTCCAAGGCCCACTTTATAAATATCAATCTACGACAAAAGGGATCTAATTTGAGCTGGCTCAAAACATCACTAGATTTTTCATTGTGAAATATCTCGAAACTGGTGACAGAAAGCGATTTCAACCAAGTACACATTTTTTGTTGCAAACCTATTGGAGAACCCCGTATTGTTAACAAAAATAAATGCGATATGGTAAAACCCAAAGAAGTTCTGATGTTTTAAATGGCTCCGGACTATTGCAGCTAGCGCCCTCTGGGAACTACAAAGTGGATAATAGGAAATGGGGATTTGCCGATCTAAAAAACCCTCAATCACAAATTCTTGTAGTGCTAGTAAAACTGGTTAAAAATCTATTAAGAAAAAACGAAATTTTTATTTGCATTTTGACACCCTGTATCTCGGAATCTAGCGACTTTCAGATAAGTCCAATTTGCCTGAAACGCAATATTTTTGACCAAACTATGACAGTGATTTTTTCGACATTAGTTGAGGACCACCCTGTATAAGCAGACAATTTTGGTGTTTTGTTGTTTCTTTTCCTCTTTTCCTGGTTTCTGAGAGTAAGCATATTTCGATTTGGTGGGTACTGATTTCTATACGTTTCTCTTGGTCTCTTTTATTCCACGATCTAATGTTCCAGTATGCTACTCTTAGTTCGGTATCCCTTTACGTAGTCCTATTTCTTACGGGGGTAATCTTTAAGTGCTTCCGTCCTGTATCCGAGGCTCTCTGATCGTTTCTATAAGCATTTTTATTTGTTTTACCGGGGCAAGTCGCTAGCCGAACCCTTCTCTTTTATCCGGGCTTGGGACCGGCTGCGCATACAGAGAATACGTGCTCTTACTTTTAATTGTTTCTTGAAAGCTTTAACGTATTCACCTGAAATAATTACTGTCTATGTTTTCTTAATCCATTATTGCAATGATTTGGTTGATGGTTTTGTCTTTTCCAGGTTGGCGTTGGCCTTATAGTAAATAGTGAAAATATGCCAGGAGTATTATCCTTGGATAAAGACTACAATAATATGTCAAAGTTCCTTAATCGCATTCTTGGTATGCCAGTAGAATTGCAAAATAGATTATTTAAGTAAGTACTGTGTTTGGAAAATTCGAATTGCATAAAAATTGTCTATAAATTATACTTTATTTTAGGTACTTTACGGATACCCTAGCCGCTATCATAACACAGGCGAAAAGAAGCGGACGGTTTGATTTGGGTATTTTAGATTTGGGTGCTGGAGGGGAAGTAGTAAAACGCGCGCGTTTGGTTACGTTTCTCAGGAAACATGCTACAGGAACAGCTCCTACTGAACTACATACAGTTCATGTGGAACGAGGAATGGCCTGGCCAGAAGCTTTGGACAAATTTTCCGAGTTGACAAGCGAAAGTGAAGGCTTTTGGTTATCCCATCAGGTAATTGATTAACTTTTAGGGCGTTGGCTTCAATATATTCCATATTGTCTAATGTTTTTAGGCTAGAAATGCTAAACATACAGCTATTCTTGCCATTGCTGTAGAGGGAGGCAACACCAACTCTAATAAAAAGAAATCAGAAAGCAAAAAAGAACAAATGTTCTCCGTTTATAGGCCTAACACAGGTTTGCAATTTAGACAGGAAAGTTTGGCTGAACTTGAGAAAAAGTACAAAAAGGTATACTAACTAAATAAAAATAGGTGCAAAATATTTTAGCGTAATAGTTGTTTATAGCATAATAGCGTTTTAGCGTAATATTGTTTATAAAAGTAACTAGCTTTCTTTCAAAGTTACAAAATTTTGATTAAATCTTAATTTAGGTGGACTCTGCTGACGCTGAAAAATCATGGACTGAGCAATATGACTCTTCAGTTAACACATGTTCGCATGCTTTTTGGAGAGGAAATTGTCGAAATGCTACCGCTGGTCACGAATGTGAAGTCGGTAAGTGGATGTGCAATAAATAATTGATATCATTTCAATAATAATTTGCTGTTTTTATTACATTCGATTAAACTCGATGAACTTAATTCCAATATCAACTTCGATACAAGTTTCACAAAGCAATGCTTTTTTTGCAGGTTTACGCAGACGTACATATCATGTGGTAAGCGGGAGCGTCCTGTCGGTTTGGAGTAGAGTTGAAGCTGTTTTAGCCGCAAGAGGAGGCGTTCAGAACAAAATGCAAGTCATTAGGTTAAGAACGGAAGAAGATTTAAAAGTTGTAGGTAAGTAATGCATTGTTATTGTTGATCAGTTCTCTTTCCGGAGTTAATTACTGAGAAATGCTAAAAGGCAGGCCATATTTCAGGATCAAATAAGTAATAATGTAGATATTTAATCAAACAATGTGACTTTTGGACATCCCGGTTTTTATGACAATGGAATAATTTCTTTCAGAAATAGTTTATTGGTTTGTTATTTACTTGCATAAATAATCGGTAAGAATGAAAATGTTTCCCTACTTAAGTCAACATTTTATGCCAAAAAAAAACTTTTTATTAACATTGAAAAATTGAACACATGGACAAGTAATTAGCGGGATATATTTTTCTACACTGGCAAAAAAATAGTTCCGAAAAATAACAATGTTATTGAAATACACTACAATAATGCAAGGTGATTCAGAACTATGGGATAAGACTGATTAACTGAAGATTGATTAATGCGACAATGGAAGTAGGCCTAGAGAATTACGACGAAGTCTTTCAAATATGACTCTAACGTTACGTAACTTAGATAACTATTGAAATCGCCCGGGAATGGTATACCTATAGAAAATATCTAGCTACGCCACCTTGCGCACTAATTGCAAAAACAACGAAAAATTGAAAAAACTGCGAAAATCGCGTTTATTTATACAATTTCAAAGTATAAATTGTTCTCGAAAATGTAAAACCTAGTTTTATGCGAATGTTTCCGGGAAAAATTGCGATTTTCCCATTTTTTATTTCACTTTTACTTTGGTTATGCAAATAGCACACCTTTTCAAGCTGCGAACCTCGGTATTTTCAATAGGTTCCCGAGCGATTCCAATATTTATCTAAGTTACGTCACGTTAGAGCCTGTTGCGTCGGGTAGTACCTGGAAAACCACGAAAATCGCTGGATGATGACGACATTGGCGATAATGCCGGAGAATGGCTCGCACTTTGGTTTGTTATTTCCACCAAGGTTCGGCTGGAATACGTAGAAGATCCTTGTGTAAACATTTTTTTCGAATTCGCGAATTTATTATTACGTTATTTAGGCCTTTTAGACATAAGACCCTGTTTTGTGAGGGGGATTTTTAGGGCCACTCCTCTTCAATGTTTTCTTCGGTCGCACTTGGGTAATCCTTCACTTTAGGAAAAACACTACTAAAATGAAGGTTTGAGAAAAATCAGGGTTTCCTAAGGCCGTTTCTCTTCTCTAGTTTTACAATTTTACTTTTTGTTTTCCCTTCCATTTCCAGAAGAGGGTAGCTTTGTCACCTCAGAGCCTTGTACCTCTATGGGCGTTTTACACGAGGATTGGGAAAGGACTGTAGGTCATTTGAAACGGCAAAACATATGCGAAATTTAGAAAATAACCAACGGGCTGAAACAAAATACACTCTTTTCAACTCAAAAAGCCCACGGGCTTTTTGAACATAGCATGAGCATAACATTACACACTATATCTGAAATCTGTACCAATGTCAACCGTTAAATTTTATCTGAATATGTATTTTCTTTAAGCCGCGGAAGTATGGCAATAGCATGACTGCTTAGGCGGCAATAATCTCTGATACTAGTATTCGCCCGTACCTACTAACGGCGAAATTTGGTCCGCAAGTCCAGATTTGCAGATTTATTTTGTATGAAATTCGCATCGAGTCGTATCTGGCTCGTGATTAATCATTAACGCACCGATATTTCTTCGAATTTGGCTCGCCACGTATCAAATATGACAGATATTTCGCTCGTGTATGGGGCGCTAAGGGGCTCCAAATAGCTCCGACGTAACGCCTCTCGATTCTTTTCTCTGGAGTTATTTAAATAATATTCTGTATGATAATCTAGCTCGACGCCTTAAAATAGTGGATGCAGTTAACGATATTAATATTAATCAAAACCAATATCTTCAAAACGTTATAGATGAACGGAGGTCATATACAAAATCAGTGATTTTAATGATTTTGAAATTGTGGTATAGTGGTAATAAATTCCGTTATGTTTTCTTTCTATAGTTTTTTATTTAATTTCAGGCTGCTTTAATTTGTTGGTAGTTAAAATTTTTAAAACATAATACAAGAAAAAACGGCAAATACAAATCTAGGCAAAATATGTTTCTGAAATCAGAAAAAATACTCAATCGACTTTGTTTAAAAATATAGTTTCATTAAAAATAAAGACTTTATGTCACATTTTGAGATTTACGTGTTTGATTTTTTATTTTAACTTCAGGTTTAAAAAATTTGATTAAAATTAAACAACTTTTGTATTGGTCATTTTCACATTAAAAAAACCATCTTAGGGGTGTCAACTTATGAGGAAACAGCCTGTTCATAACGGGTTTAAAGCGTCATCATGTCGTGGCCCCTTGGGGACACATTTTCCGACATGCATTCTTATATTCAAATGTCGTCGGTTGCTGCACTGAACAATCCTTAGAAATAGGATCTTATAGTCCTGATTCACCCTGCAAATAAAATGCAAATTCCTGATTAACTAAAAACTAGGAATTTTGGTCGATGATTTATTTAAATTATCTACATAATACCATTTACATTTGCTATTTATTCTTTTCAGGTACCGTAATCCCCAAAAATTGTGTAGATGCACTTATAGAGGCTCTTTCGTCTGATGCTGAAAAAGTGGAGGAAAAGGCGTTTTAAAAGCCACGATAGACTGATTTGGAATGGAAGGCTTTTCATTTTTTGATATTTTGAAACTGTTACAGGGCTAAAAAGTATTTACAAGGCACTTTTTTCTGCAAAAGTCCATTGACTGTAATATAGCATAGGTTAGTATTGAGCAACAGCAGAGAAAACAGGATAGATGCAGGAGTGTAAACTACAAGACATGTATGTTTTTGGTTTGGTTGTAATGAGCGATTAAAGAAATTTGCCCTTCGTCAACATTTGTATATCTTTCCCACGGCGAAAGGCGATTCAGGCATTAGTAAGCCGGTACTCTCTGAAGAAAAATGTGATTTAATAGGAGCCGTTTGAATCTTGATGCACGATAATTTTAGGCCGTTCAGAGAACAGACACTGACAAAAATATACCATATTTGGATAAATTTTTGTGCGAGAAAAACAATTAATTTAATTGAAAATCTCTTGATATTGCCGACTTTTGAGTTTGGTATCTAATGATGTCTAAGTACATAATTTTACATACATTTGTTCTTTGTTGACCAGAAACAAATTGCGAATCAAATTTTTAAAACACCACGAAATCTCAGTTCTGCATATTGTATAGAAAACGCCACGCCACAATGGACGAAAAGAGCTTCGTTCCAAATAACCTAAAAATCTGTGAAAATATTAGATATATGCTGTATTTTAGAAGATACCAATGTATTTATACTAGCGATGATAGTTTTTTTTTATATAAGCTTTTACTTTGTTGATTTTCTGTTGTTAATTTTTTCGGCAAATTGTCACCGTAAAATTTGCTTTGTAATGTTAAAGAATTCTGTTTTTTACACTAGCGAAGAAAATATTGAAACGCTTTATTTATAGACGTCTTTAAGGCTATCTTAAATTTTTGATGGTTGAAGTTTTAATTTATGGTTTTAGTGCACGTGTTCAATATTCTCTTTCGCATCATTGTTAAATTATTTTTCAACTTAATTTGGTGAGTCCTAATTTTATCTGTGTTCAATTACGATTAAGATAAAAAAGAAAATAGTATTAACTACAGACATGTATTTTATTTACGCAATTACATGAGTGTTACAACAATTTTCCTAAAATCCATTATAATGGCCACTAAAATTATGTGATTTTGTATTTCAGCAATAAATTATAGACAATTTTAACAAGACAGTACCAGTGAGCACTCCATTGTTTGGTGTTACAGAGTTACATTTTACGGGACATATTCTCATTAAGGACATCATCTGTTCGGGACTGTTTCTGCAACAGTGGCTTGGCGTTTATCAAATAATTTATATCTTCATTAAACCGTTCAGAACAGTTGAATTGCGTCGCAATTTCTTGTAGGCGTTGTAGACCAGTTTTCAATTTTTGAATTTGTTTCAGAAGCATGGATATTTGATCTCTTCCTGAAATATAAGTCAAGATCAATTCATGCTATTTTCAGTGGGTGTACCGCGGACGGTAAAAAAGTACAGGTACTTTGACGAAACGGTTGACGAGTAAAGCAGATGTTATGCAAAGCAATTTTAAAAGCGGTATTCGCAAGCTCAAAAGTCGAGACGCACCCTGGTGGCTAAAATGATAACTACACGTTAAGTAGTAATTTGACACTTGTTTTGTTGACATTGGTGTTTACTTTTGATTATGATTTGTTTGGTTTTGTTCTCATCAACTTTCACAAGTTTTTAAAGAAATAGAAACAGACCGAAAAGTATTGTTTTATGTTATAGATGTCATCAACTCCAATAAATAAACAAATCTGACAAGTCTCAATTGTCACTCGACAACGAGTAATTTGACGTTTCGCAGCGCCACCATCGGTAGTTGAACTCGCGAGTTCAAAAGACCAAACGCCCACTGGCGGCTAAATTATAACTACACTAGTAAAATTTTACATTTATTTGATTAGTAATGTCATTGTGGTTTGTTCTACTCAGCGTTTGCAGGCTTTTAAGCAAATAGAGACATTGAAAATTGTTTTAAGTTGTAGACTAAAAAACAAAGACTCAAACATGGGATGTCTTGAAGGTATTATTAAGGTATTCGTGATTTTTGCAGCAAACAATGGCGAGCAACGTTTACGTTTTGCAGCGCCCTCATCGGAAGTGGAACTCGCGAATTTAAGACAAAAATATCTGAATATAAAATAGGTATTAGTCGATTTTTTCTCTGAATAAAACAGTTTATATAGATTAATTACGAGCAACCTTGCGATCGGCCGATGTACAACATTTTATAGAAAACGTTTTTTCACTACTATTGTTTCAAAAATCTCAAAGGAAAAATGAGCGAAGCTTATATAGGATGGATATATGTGTTACAATATGTGCCGAAGAAAGTGGCTGAACATGGCTCGAATGAAGTGTTACATTCAGACTGTTGTTTCAGCTTGTGACAAGTTACTGATTTTTTTGGAAAAAAAATGCGCTAACCCAACAAAATATTACAAGATGAATTTGTGAAGCAAACCGGCAGCTGAAGAACAGTGAAGGTTTTGCCCAAACTAGACCATCCTCATTTATCGGATGTCATGCGTTAGGAAAATCTTGTTAGGCCCGATTTGCCACAATAATGGGAAAATCCAGAGGATTGAAGTCCGTACTTATGGGTGGCTAAAGCAATAAGGCTCCAACGATATAGAAAGGTGCCATAATAAAGTAAACAGGTACCAGACGCAAAAGATCTGTTGAAGCGCCAGCTGCATAAACCACATGGTTAAACGAAACAAAACTCCTTAAACGAAGTGGAACATTTTCAAGCACCTGAAAACATTTTAGATACAGTTGACTATTTACTTTAAAAGTTGAAATAAATTGTCAACAACATCGCACCAAACATTACTTTTATGTTGGAAGCGTCTTGCTTTCACAATATGGAATTTTTTCCCACAGCTGAATATTTTGCCATATAAATGTTCTACGGCTAGAAAACGCTGCCTCATCAAAAAAATAAAATTTTCCCCAAAAAAATGCATCGATGGTTTGTTCTCGAAGAAAATGGTCAAAACGTAATCGAGCAGAACCTTGCGGCATCAAATTATGAAGAGGAGTTAGATAAAATGAATACAGTTTCTCATTTTCAGAATTCTCCAAACCCTAAGCTGAGTTACATGTACCTGTTGCAGTACCGGCCATTCGGGGTGAAGTGGAGGCGAACGCAAGCAGACCTTTATTGGTCAATAAAGTTTTGTTCAAGAATACTTTTTCGTCAAGAATATGAAATGCGTCGCGTAAAAAAGTAGTCAACCGTCATATTCCCGTCGGTTAAGTTCCTAGTATCGTTACTAGTAGGAATACATTTTTGCTGGATAAATTCGCCGTAAAACACAGGGAGAGGATTTGATGAATTCTATTTTTTTCTTGGAATTTGAAAATTATAAGAGATTGTTGCACACAATACTAAAAATAAAAAATCCAAATTAGTTATTTTTCCTGATGTGCTCTATTATTAGTAAACCCATGGCAATTTCCTTAGAAATTATTGTTTTTTGTCTTAAATAATTGCGTTTTAGTAAAAAAAGTCATTTTATGTGAAGGCGGACACTTATTAATTTTAAGACTACAATGAAGAAAACGTTGCTAGGGCGCTCGAAGATAGGCAGAAAAAGTTCAAGACAGGCGGCTTGAATCATGAAATTCTAAAATCCACCCTACACGATAAGAGAAATTAATACAAACTAAGACACATGGCGGAGAGTGCCTAATTTCCCAAGAAGAAGAGAAACTTAATAAAAATACACCTCTTACTGGGTGCTAAGACCATTTTTACCGCTGAAGGGCCCCCCGCCTTCAGCACACACATTGGGGTGAAGGCGGACCCCTTTATCTAAAAAATTGGGAGGGAATGAAAAGTTAATTTGTTTTATTATGGAATTCGACAAAGGAGACCCGAAAGACTAAATTATTTTATTGGAAATTTTTCCAAAATTATACTTTTTATTAAGAAAAACATTGAGAAAATCGTCCGGCTTCACCCCGAACGACGGTACTTAAAAGACGATTATTTCAGGACTTTCAGAGCCCTAACAATAACTTTCTCTTCCTGCTCAATATAAAATTTTGGGACCCACGCGGAAATGATTTGTAAGGTAAGTAGGAGTGGAGTTTAGAAAGGTCAAAAAAGTCACTCTTCTGGATTTCTATAGATGAACCATTTCATCTATTCCCAAAGAAAGAAATACTACACTGCATACTGCAGGCTTCATTAGAGGAAACGACCGTTAGCTAAAACAGGCTTTAAAAAAAATCAGATCGCGCAAATAAGTGTATAGAAGTAATGTTTTCGAACATTTGAGACAAATGAGTGTTATTTGTTTATACATATGTAGTTATTTGGATTGTTTAGTAATAATTTTTGTAAGTTTTGAAATTTCAACTAACTGAAGTATGAATGAAATGGAACACATTCCGAATCACCTTATACATATAGGTACGCTCGTAAGCTACTTATTTGTGTTAAATTTGAAGTTACCTTGCATTTTGAACTGATTTGAGAAGAAGATATTGTGGATTATCGTTTATAGTTCTTACCTTTTGAAGATATTTCAATTCGCTTGCTGGTCAAATTCTTCATCAAGTCTCGCACGTTGGGCTGGACTTCTGCATCTCTATTTTTATCATCACGACTGCTTTCCAAAGTGTTGATAAAACTGACTCTGTTTAATTCGGGTTTGTGACCTTTCGGAATAATGTTAATTTCACTTTCATGTTTGCACGTTACGACATCTCCGTGTTCAGTTTCAATCGAAAACGAGCGCTCTTTTTTTGATTCAATGCGTTTTCTTTCGTAATATTCCAAACTTTGCAGAACTTTATTCTGTTTCGAGCTCATAGGTGAGTTCATTTTGAATTTTTCATCCGCGTTTGCGAAGCAATAAATAACGACTTTCGATTTCGTATTGTTGTATTTCTTATCCGAGGAGTCAATAATCCGTTGAATTAAGCTGAAACGAAGCTAGGCAATTAGGTGCTTTCCAAGCTTTTGAGATAAGCAGTCTGCTTACCTAAAAATGCTTCGTAGCATGATCCGATTATGAAAAAATCAGTTGTTTTCATGCATTTGCGAGAAATTTGCACCATACGTTAGCCGAAAATTTGCTGATTTTGACGTTTTCTTTTTTGACTTTGAAATCTCAAAGCCCGCTTAAATGTTTACAGGCGCATTTCATTGTTTATAAGAGTCGGCCAAGAAAATGAATTACATGCTGATTATTTCTACTAAAGATTCAAATGCCCAATTGAGGTAGATAAGTTCAATAAAACCGACACCTTTCAAGTTAAGCATATTTTGATTTTAAATCCGAAATCAGTATAAATTTGACTTGAAGTAGGTTAGGTGGCAACACTGATTGTCAGTATTGTGATTTGTTGCTGAGGAAAGGTAAGCAAATTTTACCTTTTTAGCAAATGTTATTAAACTAGTTTGCCGGTATAAATAGTAGATTTTCATCTGATTTGGAGTGTATTCCTGCAAGTAATGTCGAAAATAAACAAAATCCTGCAGTACTTCCGGGTTGTTATGTCCACATCAGTGGAAACATACATGGATCAATGAAATTGTTTTCAATTTCAACTTGTTTTATCGTCTATTCTGCTTCTATTCCAACCAATGCTCTTATTGAACTACATGAATAACCTATCATTTGCTGAAGATACAAACTCGATTTGCAGGATTTTCTGTCAGCGATCCGTGAAACAGTTCTGAAGGATATTGTTTATTGGGAAACTACTGCATTTTAATCATAATTGAAGCTTATGTGCAAGCTTGCGATTTTTAACAAGGATTTATTAAACTATCGACGTTTGAATTCAAGGTGTTTCATGAGGAAGGGGCATTATTTTAACCACGTATTCCAGGTCCGAAAACAACCCTAGATTTACGTGTTGAAATTTAATTTCAAAAATAATAAAGTATAAACTGGCGATTCGAATTCCGAATTTTTTGTTTTTTTTTCTTTTACCATAAAGAACACTTGAAATTCAATTTCAGCGAAAGAAATTTCTGGATGGTCCATAAATAAAGCTAGAAAACACAACAAAAAAGCTTTTGAAATTCGCTTTTCCAAAACTACTCGTGTATATACAGGGTGGTCATTTTCTGAATCTTCAGTATTCTTCTGAATCTCTTCAATATCATTGGGGTTTGTCATGTAGATCTTGTTTTTAAGGGTACCCCACAGAAAATTGTCCAGAGGTGTTAGTCCAGTGATCGTGCTGGCCACCGAATGGCTCCTGCATTGGGAATCCAACTAAGAAAATGTTGTAAATATTCACATACAACTCGTGAGTTGTGTGGAAGTGCACCATCACGTTGAAAATATGTCAATTTTCGGTACGCTGCTAACGGCAAACTATCCAACATGTCTTCAAATTCATTTTGTAAAAAGCCTAACTATCTTTTGCTATTTAAAGTGTGATTATAAAAGAATGGACAATAATTTTATCAGTAAATTGCCATCATCAAATTTCTTGTTTCCAGAGCCTACTACACATTTTTAATGTTCTTTTGAATTTTTACGGTTAAAAAAAAGATAAACATCAGTTAACATCAGGAACAGTTATATCGTTAAATTCAGAAAAAAATAAGGATTTTGAAAGGCCCACTGCCAACTATGATTTCCATTTAAAAAAACATAAATTTATTTTTTATCTCGTAAATCAAGTTGACTATGACAACGAGTGCTAGTTTGTTGGATTCACCGCAAAAAGTTCTATCAAGGGCAAATTTAACTTTTTTCTAACTTAAGCAGTTTACGTTACACCGATGTTATAACTTAAAAAATGGTGAGCGTCACGGGACGCTCGACAGAAGTGATAACTTCATATATTTATAGAAACCATAAAATATTGAACTTGTTTAACGCATGATGGCAATAATAATTTTATTTTATAATTTTAATATTCTTGTTAGTATAATAATTTATAAATGGATCAGGAATAGGTAAAATTTAATTTCCTTTTGAATGTAAAATATCTTTTTTATTTGCAACATTTAACATTATTTAACGAGAGGTTGTACATATTGTTCTTCTTGGGTTTGTGTAAACTCCTCTTCTTGAGTTTCTGTATTTTTTAGTCGTAATTTCTTGTTTGCTTTGTATAATCTTTGACGTTCAGCACTTGTTCGTGGTTGATGAAAGCTACTTTGAGTTGATCTATTACTTAATGCTCCTTTTTTAGCACGAAATCGTTTTTGGCGTTCAGCATTACTTAATACTTTTCGC